ACTCTTTCCTCCTTAAAAGTTAAATAAAATAGAATTCCTCTGGTGTTCTGCTTTAGCTAGTAAGATGAAAATAATTCATCCCCATTTCTATATAAAAAGTAAAGCCATTGTTCTCTGCTTAAAGTCTCTCAAATCATTTATTATATGTACATCTCCATGTGTTCTCTGTGGCTCTTATGAAACAAACCAGTAACTGATAGTATAACTTTGTTACTGGTGTCCCCTCCTCAGTCTCTTACTACATGAAGATGAATCTGTCTCCCAGGACTTACTGCTGGTGTAGGCCTCTGGGAAACATGTGGCCTGCTGCCTGGTTTTGCACGACCTGAAGCTAAGAATGGTCTTTACATTTTTAACTAGTTGAAAAAAATCTAAAGAAGCATAATACTTCGTGACACATGAAAATAATACGGAATTCAATTTCTGGTGTCTATAAAGTTTCATTGGTACACAGCCACACCCATCTGTCTATGTAGTGTCTATGTTTTCTTCCACAGGACAATGGCAGCCGTGCTGAGTAGTGACAGAGACCACATACAACCACAAGGCCTAAACTATGGACTATCTGACCCTTCACAGACAACTTTCCTGACCTTGTCTCCTGAAATTCAAATACACATATATATTTTACATGAATACAGTACCCCAAATCATGTTTCTTTACAAGATTTTTATATTGTTTGGACAAAGCTGTGAGGATAGAAAACAGCCTTTCTTCCACGAACCTTAAATTCAGCATCTACTCTGCCGAATCTTTGAGCATCTTTCACAAGGTGAATTCGAATATCTTCTGAATAAGCAAAGATGCTTTCTAGGTGAGACCAAGTGCGCTGTACTTCCATCCAAGTAAAGATGACCGAATCTGCTGTGTTTAATTTGTTTTGCCAGCTTATGACTTGCTCAATGAAATATTCCACATACCTGCTTTGAAGCAGGGTCTGTAACTGAACCTAAAAGGAAGGCAAAGAATTTCAAATACCATCTAAATTGGTAGTCTGTAAGCATCATGAGGGAGCACACCTCTTCTGTTTATTGCTGGATTCCTAGGATGTAGCACACGACACATGCAACAGGCATTCAGTAAGCATTTGCTAAGTGAGTGAATTAATGGCATTAAATATTACATAATAACATGTTTTTTCCAAAAGGAAAAAGACAAATATAAGCAACTACATGTAATGTGTCTTCTAGAAGAAGGCCATGTGTCTCTTTGAAGGCAGGAAAAAATATTGTGCACCAGGGTGCAGCTTTAGGAATTAAACTTTATTCTTTCATCCTCTCTCACTCTTCTTGGGGTCTCTGCCTATTAATCATTCTAAGGTTATGGGTCTTCTTTTTCAATATTGAAAATACGAAACAAACTCCCTTCCAGTTTGCTAAGACCTCAAGCTCCTGTTTTCCTCCTCTTTGAGTTTACTACCAAATTTGGCAGCGTTCCTAACACCAAGCCTTGCTTTAAGGTCGTGCAGTTCAGTGAGCACTTCCCATCATTTTCTGACACTGAAATTCCAGAAAGTCACTGAGAACAGCTCCTTTTCATCCTCCTTCATCTCTAAGTGTTTAATACATTTGACTATTCTCCCCCCCCCAGCTTTATTGAAATATTACTGACATATAGCATTGTGTAAGTGTAAAGCGTACAATGTGATGATTTGATACATGTATATACTGTGAAATGGTTACCACAGTAAGTTTACACCTCCACAACCCATGTAATTGCCGTGGGTGTGTGTGTGTGTGTGTGTGTGCACGCACACGTTGATAACATTTAAGATCTACTCTCTTAACAACTTTCAAGCCTATAATATACTATTGTTAACTGCAGTAACCATGCTGTACATTAGATGCCCAGAACCTATTCATCTTATACCCAGAGGTCCAGACTGTTTGACCAATACCTCCACACTTCCCCAAAGCCCCAGAAACTGGTAACAGCCATTCTACTCTGTATGAGGTCAGCTTTTTTAGATTCCCCATATAAGCAAGAATATTCAGTACTTGCTTCCTCTGAGTGAACTACCTCACTTGGTATAATACTCTCAAAATCCACCCACGTCATCACAAATGGCAGGATTTCCTTCTTTTTATGGCAGAATGATGATATTCCACTGTATACACACCACATTTTCTTTATCCATTCGTCAATGGATGCTTAGGTTGTTTCCATGACAGCTGACTCTCCTTTGTAGGAGAAACTTATCCTGTGATTGCTGATGATACTATACAGTCTTCTTTTTCTACAATTTCTCTGCCCACTCTCTCTCTCTCTGCCTCCTTTATGTCTCCTGCTCTTGTTCACTACACGCAGCCTTTCCCAAAGCTCTATTCTCAGCTGCATTATCTTCTTTACCTCTCAGTATCTAGTTCATCGATTCTCAAGACACCAAAAATGACCTCCCAAATTATAGTTCTGGACTGAACCTCTGCACTGAGCTCTGGGTCAGACTTTCCACCTTTACATCAATGTCCCTCACTTTAAATACACCAAAAATAATAGAACATCATCTCTTCAGAGCAGGTTCTTTCCTAAGTGCCCCATGTCTAATAATAATACTACTGTTATTATTTCCTCTGAATAGTTTGTCTCTTTCATCTTTCTTATCTCTCATGTCCAAAGAAATGCTAACTCATAACCTTAGAATTCAAGACCACATAGGCTGTGCTCTGGACTGTCCCTCCAGCCTTATTTTTTATTACTCCTATCAAGAAAATCTATATTCCAAGGAAACCAAACTCTTTAAATTACCTCTGAATGGCAGGTACTTTCTGGCATTCCAAGATGCCACTAACATTCTCCCCTTTGCCTATAACACCTTTTTCTGATCACCACTTTTTGTTGAATACCAGCCCATCCTTCAAGGTTCAGCACAAGTACCACCACCTTACAAGACCCTTTGGAACCTTGTCTCTGTCTCCCTACTCAAGTGCAAGTTCCTTGAAAACAAGTGTTCATACTTTTTGAGCCCAAATGGTACTATGCCTGGAGCCTGGCACAAGCAGATGCCCAATGAATGAAGAAAGAAATACTGAGTACTGGAACTTGGAAAAATCTAAAATCGTACTTTAAAATGAAAAAATCTGTAATAAAAATATCCATCTTACTTGGTTGTGCTCTAGAGTTTCAAACAATTGTTCATCAAACTTCAGTAATAGAACGCCTGTCCGAGAGTGAACTTCGTAAGAGAACTCAATGGTTGCCCATGTCTGGCTGATTTCAGAAACAACCTAGACGTAAACAGTATTTAGTTAGGTGCACAAAAGTTTAATTTAGGACCGATACTTAGGCTATCATCTGGAATTTTTAAAACTGTTTTTACAATTTAAAAAAAAACAACAGAGGGACATCAAATATCACTGGCCTCAAATTTTTTCCTCCAAAAATTCACAGTGATGAGGTTTAGAGAATGAATTCCGCCACACAAAAGGAACAAGCGTCACACCAATATGAAATTTTTTTTTTTACTGGATCTGAGTTTTATATCCTTCACTGAAACACAATGGCAGAGCAGGAGGGGATGTAAAAGGTTATCTTAAAAGTCTGATAGACACTCAAGGCTCCGAATCCGAGAGAGGGGGAAGATGGCGGAAGAATAAGACGCTGAGATCACCTTCCTCCCCACAGGTACACCAGAAATACATCTACACGAGGAACAACTCCTACAGAACACCTACTGAACGCTGGCAGAAGACCTCAGACATCCCAAAAGACAAGAAACCCCCCAAGTACCTGGGGAGGGAAAAAGAAAAAAGAATAAACAGAGACAAAAGGATAGGGATGGGACCTGCACCAGTGGGAGGGAGCTGTGAAGGAGAAAAGGTTTCCAAACACTAGGAAGGCCCTTCGTGGGCGGAGACTGCGGGTGGCGGAGGGGGAAAGCTTCGGTGCCACTGAGGAGAGCGCAGCAACAGGGGTGCGGAGGGCAAAGCGGGGAGATTCCCGCACAGAGGATCGGTGCCAACCGGCACTCACCAGGCAAGACGCTTGTCTGCTCACCCGCCCGGGGCGGGCGGGGCTGTGGGCTGAGGCTTGGGCTTTGGTCAGAGGCAAGAGGCTTTTTCTTCCCTCTTTGTTTCCTGGTGCGTGAGGAGAGGGGATTAAGAGTGCTGCTTAAAGGAGCTCCAGAGACTGGCGAGCCATGGCTAAGAGCGCTGACCCCAGAGACAGGCATGAGACGCTAAGGCTGCTATTGCCGCCATCAAAAAGCCTGTGTGCGAGCACAGGTCACTATACACACCGCCCTTCCGGGGAACCTGTGCAGCCCGCCACCGCCAGGGTCCCGGGATCCAGGGACAACTTCCCTGGGAGAACGCACAGAGCGCCTCAGGCTGGTGCAACGTCCCACCGGCCTCTGCCGCCATAGGCTAGCCCGCATCCACACCCCTCCCTACCCCCGGCCTGAGGGAGCCAGAGCCCCCGAATCAACGGCTCCTTTAACCCCACCCTGTCTGAGCTTAGAACAGACGCCCTCAGGTGATCTACACGCAGAAGCGGGGCCAAATCCAAAGCTGAGCCCCTGGAGCTGTGCGAACTAAGAAGAGAAAGGGAAATCTCTCCCAGCAGCCTCAGGAGCAGTGGATTAAATCTCCACAATCAACTTGCTGTACCCTGCATCTGAGGAATACCTGAATAGACAACGAGGCATCCCAAATTGAGGAGGTGGACTTTGAGAGCAAGATTTATTTTTTCCCCTTTTCCTCTTTTTGTGTGTGTGTATGTATATGCTTCTCTGTGAGATTTTGTGTGTACAGCTTTGCTATCACCATTTGTCCTATGGTTCTATCTGTCCTTTTTTTTTTTTTTTTTACTTTAAAAGAAAATTTTTTTCTTAATATTTTTTATTTTAATAACTTTATTTCATTTTATCTTACTTTATTTTACTTTATTTTTTCCTCTTTCTTTCTTTCTTTCTGCTTTCTCTCCCTTTTATTCTGAGCCCTGTGGATGAAAGGCTCTTGGTGCTGCAGCCAGGAGTCACCGCTGTGCCTCTGAGGTGGGAGAGCCAACTTCAGGACACTGGTCAACAAGAGACCTCCCAGCTCCACATAATATCAAATGGCAAAAATCTCCCAGAGATCTCCATCTCAACACCAACACCCAGCTTCACTCAATGACCAGCAAGCTACAGGGCGGGACACCCTATGCCAAACAACTAGCAAGACAGGAACACCACCCCACTCATTAGCAGAGAGGCTGCCTAAAATCATAAGACCACAGACACCCCAAAACACACCACCAGACGTGAACCTGCCAACCAGAAAGACAAGATCCAGGCTGATCCACCAGAATACAGGCACTAGTCTCCACCACCAGGAACCCTACACAACCCGCTGAACCAGGAGACAAGATCTAGCCTCATCCACCACAACACAGCCACTAGTCCCCTCCACCAGGAAGCCTACACAACGCACTGAACCAACCTTAGCCACTGGAGACAGACATCAAAAACAACGGGAGCTACGAACTTGCAGCCTGCAAAAAGGAGAACGCAAACACAGTAAGATAAGCAAAATGAGAAGACAGAAAAACACACAGCAGATGAAGGAGCAAGATAAAAACCCACCACACCTAACAAATGAAGAGGAAATAGGCAGTCTACCTGAAAAAGAATTCAGAATAATGATAGTAAAGATGACCCAAAATCTTGCAAATAGAATAGAAAAAATGCAACAAACATTTAACAAGCACCTAGAAGAACTAAAGATGAAACAAGCAACGATGAACTACACAATAAATGAAATTAATAATACTCTAGACGGGATCAGTAGCAGAATAACAGAGGCAGAAGAATGGAAAAGTGACCTGGAAGATAAAATACTGGAAATAACTACTGCAGAGCAGAATAAAGAAAAAGCAATGAAAAGAACTGAGGACAGTCTCAGAGACCTCTGGGACAACATTAAACGCACCAACATTCGAATTATAGGGGTTCCAGAAGAAGAAGAGAAAAAGAAAGGGACTGAGAAAATATTTGAAGAGATTATAGTTGAAAACTTCCCTAATATGGGAAAGGAAATAGTTAATCAAGTCCAGGAAGCACAGAGAGTCCCATACACGATAAATCCAAGGAGAAACACACCAAGACACATATTAATCAAACTGTCAAAAATTAAATACAAAGAAAACATATTAAAACCAGCAAGGGAAAAATAACACACAAGGAAATCCCCATAAGTTTAACAGCTGAACTTTCAGCAGAAACTCTGCAAGCCAAAAGGGACTGGCAGGACATATTTAAAGTGATGAAGGAGAAAAACCTACAACCAAGATTACTCTACCCAGCAAGGATCTCATTCAGGTTTGATGGAGAAATTAAACTTTTACAGACAAGAAAAAGCTGAGAGAGTTCAGCACCACCAAACCAGCTTTACAACAAATGCTAAAGGAACTTCTCTAGACAAAAACACAAGAGAAGGAAAAGTCCTATAATAACGAACCCAAAACAATTTAGAAAATGGGAATAGGAACATACATATCAATAATTACCTTAAATGTAAATGGATTAAATGCTCCGACAAAAGGACACAGACTGGCTGAATGGATACCAAAACAAGATCCATATATATGCTGTCTACAAGAGACCCACCTCAGACCTAGAGACACATACATACTGAAAGTAAGGGGATGGAAAAAGAAACTCCATGCAAATGGAAACCAAAAGAAAGCTGGAGTAGCAATTCTCATATCAGACAAAATAGACTTTAAAATAAAGACTATTAGAAGAGACAAAGAAGGACACTACATAATGATTAAGGGATCGATCCAAGAAGAAGATATAACAATTGTAAATATTTATGCACCCAACATAGGAGCACCTCAATACATAAGGCAAAAACTAGCAGCCATAAAAGGGGAAATCGACAGTAACACATTCATAGTAGGGGACTTCAACACCCCACTTTCACCAATGGACAGATCATCCAAAATGAAAATAAATAAGGAAACACAAGCTTTAAATGATACATTAAACAAGATGGACTTAATTGATATTTATAGGACACTCCATCCAAAAACAACAGAATACACATTTTTCTCAAGTGCTCATGGAACATTCTCCAGGATAGATCATATCTTGGGTCACAAATCAAGCCTTGGTAAATTTAAGAAAATTGAAATTGTATCAAGTATCTTTTCCGACCACAACGCCATGAGACTAGATATCAATTATAGGAAAAGATCTGTAAAAAATACAAACACATGGAGGCTAAACAATACACTACTTAATAACGAAGTGATCACTGAAGAAATCAAAGAGGAAATTAAAAAATACCTAGAAACAAATGACAATGGAGATACAACGACCCAAAACCTATGGGATGCAGCAAAAGCAGTTCTAGAGGGAAGCTTATAGCAATACAATCCTACCTTAAGAAACAGGAAACATCTCGAATAAACAACCATACTTGCACCTAAAGCAATTAGAGAAAGAAGAACCAAAAAAAACCCCAAAGTTAGCAGAAGGAAAGAAATCATAAAGATCAGATCAGAAATAAATGAAAAAGAAATGAAGGAAATGATAGCAAAGATCAATAAAACTAAAAGCTGGTTCTTTGCGAAGATTAACAAAATTGATAAACCATTAGCCAGACTCATCAAGAAAAAAAGGGAGAAGACTCAAATCAATAGAATTAGAAATGAAAAAGAAGAAGTAACAACTGACACTGCAGAAATACAAAAGATCATGAGGGATTACTACAAGCAACCCTACGCCAATAAATGGACAACCTGGAAGAAATGGACAAATTCTTAGAAATTCACAATCTGCCAAGACTGAATCAGGAAGAAACAGAAAATATAAACAGACCAATCACAAGCACTGAAACTGAAACTGTGATTAAAAATCTTCCAACAAACAAAAGCCCAGGACCAGATGGCTTCACAGGCGAATTCTATCAAACATTTAGAGAAGAGCTAACACCTATCTTTCTCAAACTCTTCCAAAATATAGCAGAGGGAGGAACAGTCCCAAACTCATTCTACAAGGCCACCATCACCCGATACAAAAACCAGACAAGGATGTCACAAAGAAAGAAAACTACCGGCTGATATCAGGGATGAACATAGATGCAAAAATCCTCAACAAAATACTAGCAAACAAAATTCAACAGCACATTAAAAGGATCATACACCATGATCAAGTGGGGTTTATCCCAGGAATGCAAGGATTCTTCAATATATGCAAATCAATCAACATGATACACCATATTAACAAACTGAAGGAGAAAACCCATATGATCATCTCAATAAATGCAGAGAAAGCTTTCAACAAAATTCAACACCCATTTATGATACAAACCCTGCAGAAAGCAGGCACAGAGGAAACTTTTCTCAACATAATAAAGGCCATATATGACGAACCCACAGCCAACATCGTCCAATGGTGAAAAACTGAAACCATTTCCACTAAGATCAGGAACAAGACAATGTTGCCTACTCTCACCACTATTACTCAACATAGTTTTGGAAGTTTTAGCCACAGCAATCAGAGAAGAACATGAAATAAAAGGAATACAAATTGGGAAAGAAGAAGTAAAGCTGTCACTGTTTGCAGATGACATGATACTATAAATAGAGAACCCTAAAGATGCTACCAGAAAACTACTAGAGCTAATCAATGAATTTGGTAAAGTAGCAGGATATAAAATTAATGCACAGAAATCTCTGGCATTTCTATACACTAATGATGAAAAATCTGAAAGTGAAATCAAGAAAACACTCCCATTTACCACTGCAACAAAAAGAATAAACTATCTAGGAATAAACCTACCTAAGGAGACAAAAGACCCCTATGTAGAAAATTATAAGACACTGATGAAAGAAATTAAAGATGATACAAATAGATGGAGAGATATACCATGTTCTTGGATTGGAAGAATCAACATTGTGAAAATGACTCTACTACCCAAAGTAATCTACAGATTCAATGCAATCCCTATCAAACTACCACTGGCATTTTTCACAGAACTAGAACAAAAAATTTCACAATTTGTATGGAAACACAAAAGACCCCGAATAGCCAAAAAAATCTTGAGAACGAAAAACGGAGCTGGAGGAATCAGACTCCCTGACTTCAGACTATACTACAAAGCTACAGTAATCAAGACAGTATGGTACTGGCACAAAAACAGAAAGATAGATCAATGGAATAGGATAGAAAGCCCAGAGATAAACCCACGCACATATGGACACCTTATCTTTGATAAAGGAGGCAGGGATGTACAGTGGAGAAAGGACAATCTCTTCAATAAGTGGTGCTGGGAAAACTGGACAGGTACATGTAAAAGTATGAGATTAGATCACTCCCTAACACCATACACACAAAAAAAGCTCAAAATGGATTAAAAACCTACATGTAAGGCCAGAAACTATCAAACTCTTAGAGGAAAACATAGACAGAACACTCTATGACATAAATCACAGCAAGATCCTTTTTGACCCACCTCCTAGAGAAATGGAAATAAAAACAAAAATAAACAAATGGGACCTAATGAAACTTAAAACTTTTGCACAGCAAAGGAAACCATAAACAAGACCAAAAGACAAGCCTCAGAATGGGAGAAAATATTTGCAAATGAAGCAACTGACAAAGGATTAATCTCCAAAATTTATAAGCAGCTCATGCAGCTCAATAACAAAAAGACAAACAACCCAATCCAAAAATGGGCAGAAGACCTAAATAGACATTTCTCCAAAGAAGATATACAGATTGCCAACAAACACATGAAAGAATGCTCAACATCATTAATCATTAGAGAAATGCAAATCAAAACTACAGTGAGGAATCATCTCACACCAGTCAGAATGGCCATCATCAAAAAATCTAGAAACAATAAATGCTGGAGAGGGTGTGAAGAAAAGGGAACACTCTTGCACTGCTGGTGGGAATGTGAATTGGTACAGCCTTATGGAGAACATATGGAGGTTCCTTAGAAAACTACACATAGAACTACCATATGACCCAGCAATCCCACTACTGGGCATATACCTTGAGAAAACCATAATTCAAAAAGAGTCATGTACCAAAATGTTCATTTCAGCTCTATTTACAATAGCCAGGAGATGGAAACCACCTAAGTGTCCATCATTGGATGAATGGATAAAGAAGATGTGGCACATATACACAATGGACTATTACTCAGCCATAAAAAGAAACGAAATTGAGTTATTTGTAGTGAGGTGGATGGACCTAGAGTCTGTCATACAGAGTGAAGTCAGTCAGAAAGAGAAAGACAAATACCGTATGCTAACACATATATATGGAATTCTACCAAACGTAAAACAGATAGCTAGTGGGAAGCAGCCGCATAGCACAGGGAGATCAGCTCGGTGCTTTGTGACCACCTGGATGTGTGGGATAGGAAGGGTGGGAGGGAGGGAGACGCAAGAGGGAAGAGATATGGGAACATATGTATATGTATAACTGATTCACTTTGTTATAAAGCAGAAACTAACGCACCATTGTAAAGCAATTATACTCCAATAAAGATGTGAAAAAAAAAAAGGTCTGATAGATATTATTTACTTTCTGGGTAGTGCTCTGAGTGCCAGAATGTGAATCCAAGGTCCCTTGTTGCACCTGGGTAAGTTAATTACTTCCCTATACCTCCTTTTCCTCATCTGTACAATAGGGATTATTCTCAGAGGAGTAAATGAATTAATATAAAGCACTGAGAGCAGTGCTTGCTACCAAGTAAATGATATATAAATGTTTTCTGCTATAATCGTCATTATCAACTGGGTCAACTCTCTCGTCTTACAACTTTACTGCGGCCTAGAAGGAAGCTGTTTCCTGCCCAGCGAAACATGTCTCCACACAACTATTGCAGGAGGACTTCTCCCTGAGTCTGCTTATGTGCCAGTGCACAGAATTAGCTCAGGGTAAAAAGAAACAGCCCAAGGACAACACCTTCTCAGTCCCCAGGTCTTTCACTGCTTTGTCCACGATGCTTCGGACATCCTCTTCCATTTGGTGTAACCGCAAGGCTAACAAATCTGCCAAAGTTGTGGCTTCATTTATAGAAAACTTGACCTGATTAGGAACAAAAAATGGCAGAATTTATATTCCACATATATTAATGGTTCCTTCTACCTAATGGCCAGAGGAATGAAACATAGCTAAATATACTCAAGTCAGCTGCTGAGTACATTTCGAGTTCTGAAATGTGCAGACAACCAAAGACGTTGCTTTTTTACTCACAGTTACTGAGGCATCACCCATCGAAGCGAGGGCTGAGGTTTAGGCCACGTTCATACTACAGTACTTTCTTTTGTTTCATAACCCTCCCTTGTCAGCTCATTTCTTACCTCCTTTGCCCACAAAACCCATTTTTAAAGAGAATCACATTGTTCCTTTATTATAATTTGGTTGAAGTCCCAGGAATCAGGTAATAGCTCATTTGTCTTCTCTTCCTTAGGTACTCTATTCACTGAACATAATTCCCAGTTGCTTCCGTGCTTTAACCTAGTTTCATCACTGACTTAATCTTAGTTCCTTGGCAAAAAATATTCTTACTTATACTGTCATTATTGATATTTACCATGTGCAAAAGTCATTCACATTTCCTCATCATCTTATTGACTCCCCACTTTCCCCACCTCCCTATTTGTTAAGAAGCTCTCAGCTCTTCCTAAGCGCCCAGACTCACCCATGTCCCTCACAAACGAACAGCTGACCCCACCAGTTGCAAGGAAGCCATTTCCTTTCCTGCCCCTGCTAAGAATATCCATTCCCTGCTTCTCGGAAGGTGCAGTCCTTTCTGGCTCTCCTCAATCAGTAACGTTGCTCATCACCATGCACGGCTCTGCACAGGATGACTAAACCTCCCTGTTTGCCCAGGACTGGGGGGTTTCCTGGGCTAAAACCTGGGAAGTCCTGAGCAAACCCGATGAGTTGGTCACCCTATCTCTGCATCACTTTTGACCTCACTCCAGAGCTGATGGGAGTCAGGTCTGTCTTAGAGAAGGAATGAGCAGGGATGCAATAACGAGGCCCCCCTGATTAGCTGCATAGTTTGTGCAGTGAATATGGACCCTCTGCCCAGGTGACAACTGGAGGTTGGATCTAGTCACTGCTCTGATGCCCCAGATCAGCCTGGAGGAAGATGCCTTTTGCTAAATTGTCAGAGAAGTACCTTTTCCTAGCTTGCAGAAGGGCATGACACAGGCAAGACACTGTGGTGAGAAGAAAGCTCACTGGGGCTAATGTGAGAAGGGGGTGGGGAGTGGGACACACAGTATACCTTCCATGTTGGGAGACTCAATAAAGATTTTCTGAAAGAATAAATTAATCAACTATAAAGCCTAAATATGCAATGCCTAAAAGACTCTATGGAAAGTATTATAATTAAAACTTCAGGGACCATTTATTGAGGATTTGCTATGTGCTAGGGTCTATATATAATCTCGTCTCACCAAGTCTGCATGGCAGCATTATAGCATTACTTGTATTTCATAGAAGGGGCAACTGAGGTACAGAGAGCAAGTAACTGGCCCAAGATCTAAGAGATACTAGGTGTTAGAGATGGACCAATAAAGCTTAGGCCACCCCCACTTCACCAGGCTGCCCCTTTCCTCAGTTTCCCCACCCTGCAAACTTTGTCTTCAAATCATGAGAGCCCTTCTTCACGATGTGTGCCTAGCAGAAAACACGCACATCAGGCTGCATTTTAAACTCATGAAGGTCACCTTCCCTGAAAAATAAAGTGTAAGTTTGCTATATTTGCTCCTAAATAGATGTAGAAAGGCAAGAAAATATAAACTCAAATGGTACAGACACATGAGAAATAATTATATATCTTGCAATAAAATAAAAAACCATTTGGGACTTCTCTGGTGGTCCAGTGGTTAAGACTTCACCTTCCAATGCAGGGGTGCAGGTTTGATGCCTGGTCGGGGAGCTAAGATCCCACATGCCTTGCAGCCAAAAAATCAAAACATAAAACAGAAGCAATACTTTAACAAATTCAATAAAGACTTTAAGAATGGTCTACATCAAAAAAAAGAAATCTTAAAAGAAAATGCATCTCTAAAAAAAAATTTAAAAAAAACATCAAAAGACCATCAAAAAAGGATGCCATTATTAAATGAATTGTGGGGAGAAAAAAATCACTATTTCTGAATTCTCTCTGCCCCTAAATTCACTTCTAATACTCTCTGATCCTCTCCACGAAATGTAAGATTCTTTGCAGCCATGTCATGCTCTATAAAATGCCTTCACATTATCTTACTTGATCCTTACAAGATCCCTCTGATTATGAGAGTAGATAGCATCCCTCTCACTTTATAAATAAAAAACTCAAAACAGAATGGTTAAGTGTCTTATTTCAGGTCATATAGACCAGTAAGAGATAAAAGGTTGGCGGGGGCGGTGGGTATCTTAGTCACTTCTGTCTGCTCTAACAGAACATCATAGACTGGGAGGCTTAAACAACAAACATTTATTTCTCACAGTTCTAGAGGCTGGAAGTCCAAGATCAGGGTGCCAGCCTGGTTGGGTTGTCGGTGAAGGCTCTGTTCTTGGTTAACAGATGTCTGTCTTCTTGTTTTATTTTCATATGGTAGACAGTAGAAAGCTCTGGGGTCTTCATCCCCTTACAAGGGCACTGACCCCATACATAAGAATTCTACCCTCATGACCAAACTATCTCCCAAAGGTCCCATCTCCAAACACCATCACATTAAGAACTCAGGCTTCAACATATAAATTGGGGGCGTTGGAGGGGAAAACACATTTAGTCCACAGCAGAGGCTAAAACTAGAATATCTGCAGGTCTAGTCCTTGGTCACATCTCAAAGAGCTTGACCTCTTGCATCTGACCAGAAACCTTTTCCCAAATCCCACTTCATCCCAGTTGAATGATGTAAACCAAGGAATCACACTTCAGCCACAAAAATATTCAATTAGTGAGACTCAGGAAACTGACCCCAGTGGCCTTCATCAGCTGGTGCCAATGCCTGTCTCTGAGGGCAGGGCTCTGTAACTCCGCAATGGCCCTCAGGGAGGTCATCGTGTCCTTCACTGTGCCTTCCAGGCCTGAGTAAGCGTCCCACACGTGGACTTCCTTATCGAGAGACCAAATTTCCTAGAGAAAAGTGACAAAAAACTAGGTCCCCCCCAAAAAGAAAATGTTGTATCATTTTCCTCCTTTGAAAGAATAAATTTACATTTCCCTGGATAGGAAGAAAGTAAAAACATTTAAGTCCCCAGGTTAAAGACTAAAACTAGAGAAACAGAAAAGGATCCACTCACTCATATATTACGAGTCCACTGTGTACAAGCCACTTGGATACACTGGTTTCTTATTCACAGGCTCTAACTTGATGTCCTTGGGACTTGATGTCCCATGAGGAAACCCAAGGGTCATTAAATGTAGAGAATTAATAGAGTTTACGGGACATGTGCAATGAAGAGTGCTTCCTCTACAAACATAAATAAGCAGGAAACTGAGATTGTTACCTGGATTACTAACACCTTCCTTGGAAGACCTGGCTTGTTTAAATGGTAGCCCTGAAATGCTGGTTACCTTTGAGTGTTTGTTCCTTGGAACGAAACAGTCATGATTGTAAGACGTGTCAAATAGGGCCCTTGACTTGGCTGTCTTCTTGGCTCACGGAACAACATTAACAATTGGGAATGAGAAAACCCCTAATAAAACAACAATCCCAGCACAGCACAAAAGGACAGTGCTACTTCTTCAAAAAAAAAAAAAAAAAAAAAAAAAAAAAAAAAAAGAAAAAAGAAAGAAAAAGGCAAAATATCTTCAGCTGACAGCGGGGGTCAAACTGTCACTCTGAAGTGAGCCAGTCCCCTGGGCAAGGAGACAGGCAGGGAGTGAGTACAGAAAAGAGGCACAGTGACCCCAAGGCGTGCAAAAGAATGATGGGCTGTTCTAGTTAGGGTTCTTGGGACCAGGATAAAAAGGGAAGAAAAAAATGGGAAGAGCTGGCTGGAGTGGAGCACAGGACTGAGTCGGGGTGAGGATGTTCTGGGGCAGGAAGAAAGCAAAAGGCCTCACTACATCTGAACTGCCTTTCATGGCTACGCATTTGGCTTTATCCAAACATGCATTTGGCTTTATCCAAAGAGCCTTCACTCTCTTCAGAGGGCACAGGGCCGTGGGGACTAGCTATCGAAGCACAAAATTCAAAAAAGCTCAGTTCTGTTACATTGAGCCCCCTTGCAATGTTGGAGTGGGCAGTAATAAGAACAAAGATCACAGTATTCCATACACATCCACAAGTTACCCCAACTAGTTGCCCCAAAGTCCACAACCGAAAGGTACCTTTGAAGATACAGCATGCTTACAGCTGCTAGAGAAAGAATTCGACAGCTTTCGTAAGCCTAACCCCTCAGCCCTGCGCTTCACCTCCCCCCCTCCATTCTAGACAGCCATAGGGAGCGCCTGATGATAGCCACTGCTCATCAATTCACTAGACCGAATATGCTTTTATCCACTCATTCACAGAAAGGTAGGCTTGATTACAAGTGCAACTGGCTGAGAGTGAAAAACAAAATCCTGTCTCAAATCATCCTGTTTGAAGTAAATAAGGACATGCGGTCCAGCACAGCAGACGCTAGGTTAGGGAAGATGGAAGAAGGTGGTGCTGAGGAAGATAAATCGTCGTCACAGACAGTTATGGAACTTGCCTTGGCAAACCTTCTGAGTTCCACATCCATCTGTTCCACGTTAACCTGTCTCCACTGGGTTTTAGTCCAATTATCAATGCTTCTCTGAAAACGCACAAGCAGATAAAAGTGTCAACAACATTTGGTGAAAGCAAGTCTCCGCAGCAAAATATCTAAACTGATGATACACAGCGACTCCATCATCCAGGGGAAAGTCAATTATTTAAGCATTAACTGCACCTGTCAAAACTTCCCCACCACAAAAACAAAAAAGTTGTCAGAACACGTCAAACCTAAGGCTAAAACATTGTGATATGATAATTTCTAGAAGCAATGACATATTCCATACACATACCATCATTATCATTTAATCCTGAATACTCTGAATGAATTGATAAATAATGTTACCATTAAATACCATATTTTTATAATTCTACATATAAGATAAGCTTTCATAAGAAAACTTTCATCCGTTATAGACAAAACTCTCATGAGCTTCTTGACCATATTCTACGCCTTGTTAATATATTTCTTTACTGGCTTTCAACTAACTTCAAAGAAAATAATGTATAACACATATTGCAATAGGCCTAGTTCCTAGAACTTTTTTTTTTTGCGGTACGTGGGCCTCTCACTGTTGATCCCGTTGCGGAGCACAGGCTCCGGACGCGCAGGCCCAGTGGCCATGGCTCACGGGCCCAGCCGTTCTGCGGCATGTGGGATCTTCCCGGACCGGGCCACGAACCCGTGTCCCCTGCATCAGCAGGTGGACTCTCAACCACTGCGCCACCAGGGAAGCCCCTAGAACTTATTTTTGCACTTAAGTTTGCAACTTTATTAACACAGACAAAGTAACTTTATTTTTAGTTAGGCCTGTTTATATATGCACACGTACGGAAGTATAACCATGGGTGTACACACCAGTTTGTATGCACAAGTGACCATATGTGTGTGGTACATATTAATTTTTGTTTATATCCTACATAACTCTCAAGAAGGATTTGAAGCAGTCAACTCATAATACCAAGTTTCATTCAGAATGGCAAACAAAAAGCAAACAAATTCAGAGATATCTGGCAAACAAATTCAGAGATATCTGAACTCTAATTCTGGGGAAAAAGTCTAATACCCACATATTTTAAGGCATTATAAAACCCAAATAGAATGATAGAGACACTAAAAATCGCATACTTATACAAAAGAAATACTAAAAGAAAAAAAGCATGCTTTCAGAAAGCAGTGTCTTACCTTAACATAAATAATGACATCCCAGAGCCCCTTGAGCAATGTTATCTCTCTGCGACACTGCTTCATTTGTTTGTACTCTGGAAGAGCCACTTCAAAAAGATGAGTAGATTCTTGCATCTGCAACATTTCTTCTTCTAACGCCTCAAGCTCTTGATTTGCCTAAGGAGAAAACACATACACACGCACACAAACACACTTAATATCCAACAAACTGCCAGAGAAGAAGAGCCGTAGCTCTGATTATGTCAACTTGTACAACTTCGATTTTTACAAGAAAATAGAAAGAAATCTGAAGTGTAATTATTGGTAAAATGGGGGCTTTAGAGGAGCAAACTCACAACTACTCAAAAATGTTAGAGTAGACTATCAGTAAATACGGTAATGTTATTAATACCCTCCCTATACATTATTTCAGCAAAATCTGCTCTGGTATCAAATTGCTAATACAAATTTTCCTCTTGATTTTCATCATACAGCTGGGGACGACTTTGCTGGGGAGAAAAAGACAAGGTTCTAGAAACTTCCACTTAAGAATAAATCACTTTAAAAAAAAGAACTTTCAGATTTAAAAAATAACCTAGAGATTATCAATACACAGAACACAGCACAGTATGAGAAATTTCACCATATGATTATATTTACCAAGGCTCCCTCCCCTAACCATCCCATCGATGTACAACAGTTTATGTTTTATACCAAATATAAGCTGACTCATCTTTTTCTTTCTTGATAAACCAACTCTTATTTTTAGTTTTTATTAACATAGTAGTAGGTGCAAGGAGTACAGAAGAGGTTCCAATGCAGGAAAAGCTGGAAACACAGGCACTCTCTCCAGTTCCTCTAGGGGCGTTTCTCGAACTCTCAGCTCTGTGCACAAGTTGCTGCTTCTTGATTTATCAAGTTTAGACATTACAAACTTAACTGGCTTTGCAAACAAAGGATTTAACTTTGTTTTTCCACTTTACATTTTCTCCCAGCGTCCTCTCAATACCCCAAATTTCTATTACTTTAGTTTTTTTGAGTTTCTTTTAAACTTTAAATACCCACGGTTAATCATTTATCCACCTTCAACTCTCTTAATTTCCTACTATGCAAATTAGGATATTAGCACTCTAACATTCTTTCATGATACAAGTTACATGGTTCATTTTACATGTTATACTTTTATAAACATTAACTGCAATTCTCTTAGTTTTACTAACGTTATTAGAAAAAGTCCATACACATAAAAGGGTGTGGCTGTGAGCATACACACCATCCAGCTTAGTAAATACTATATGTTACTAATAACTTTTAATGACCTTCTTAATTTTATCCCTCTCCTTCCCACTACAAGTATAATCACTAAATTTTTATTTACTATTACTGATTTTATAATATTTTTAATACATGTTTGTACTGCTAAATGCTAAACTGTTAAAATTTATGTCTTAAAATTTATATGAATAGCTTTATACTATATATTAAGACATTTTAATATTTATTTTTGAGGGACATCTACTTATTCATGAAGAGTATGTATGAAGTTCATTCATTTCTACTACTTTATAGTACTACCTAGTATGAATAAACTACAATTAATTTATTCTACTGCTGATGGTTATGTGGGATTTTCCTGAATTTCACCATTAGCACTAATGCTACTAGGATTTTTACGCCCCCTGGTATAAATGTTTTATATAGTTTCATTATCCTTTAATGGGTTAAAAATGTCTTCCAAGAGTTTCTATCATGAATGAATGTTGAAATGATACCTAAAGATCTTTTGGCATTTCTTAAGATGGCTATATGACTTTTCTCTTAATCTGTTAATATGATGAATTATATTCATTTTCTAATGTTAAACATTTCCCTGGAATGAACCCAAACTATTTATAAATTGGATTATTTGATTACTTTTTGCTTAGTTAGTTTGCATCTATGTGTACCAAAAAGAGTGGCTTATCAGGACTTCCCTGGTGGTGCAGGGGTTGAGAATCCACCTGCCAATGCAGCGAACATGGGTTCAATCGCTGGTGCATGAAGATCCCACATGCCGCAGAGCGACTAAGCCCGTGTGCCACAACTACTGAGCCTGTGCTCTAGAGCCCACGAGCCACAACTACTGAGCCCACGTGCCTGGAGCCCATGCTCTGCAACAAGAGAAGCCACTGCAATGAGGAGCCAGTGCACGGCAAGGAAGAGTAGCCCCCGCTCGCAGCAACTAGAGACAAAGCCTGCATGCAGCAATGAAGACCCGGTGCAACCAAAAATAAATTTATAAAAAGAAAAAAAGAATGGCTTATCATTTTTCCTTTCTCATACTGTCCTTTCACAAAAATAAGACATGCTTCATAGAGTAATTTTTGAGTGTTCTTTCTTCTTCTGGTCTCTGGAATCACATGAGTGAGATCTGTTTCTTGAAAGCTTCTTGGAATTAACCTGTAATGCTATCAGGGCCTGCTGTTCTTTCTGTTTTAAATTAATGGTTTATCTTTTTATTTTCCTACTGGTTAATTTTTCATAGTTATAGGACTATTCAGCTGTGTTCTTTTTTATTAATTAATTAGTTTATTTATTTTTGCCTGCATTGGGTCTTCGTTGCTGTGCGCAGGCTTTCTCTAGTTGCGGCGAGCAGGGGCTACTTTTCGTTGAGGTGCGCGGGCTTCTCATTGTGGTGGCTTCTCCTGTTGTGGAGCACCAGCTCTAGGTGTGCAGGCTCAGTAGCTGTGGCTCGCGGGCTCTAGAGTGCAGGCTCCGTAATTGTGGCGCACGGGGTTAGTCTTGATAGGTATATACTTATTGCCATTTTGTTAATTGTTTTCTGACTTTTTTTAGTAGTTCCTCTCTTTTGCTCTCTTCCTCTGTAGTTCAATGACTTTCTTTAGTGGTATGTTTATATTCCTTGCTCTTTATCTTATGTGTATTTACTATAGGCTTTTGCTTAGTGGTTACTATGAATCTTATGTATAACAACTTCCCAGAGAAAGAGTAGAGAGAGAAAGGGGTAGGAATCTTATTTGAAGAAATAATGGGTGAAAACTTCCCATATCTTGTGAAGGAAACGGACCAGGGCTCGAACCCGTGTCCCCTGCACTGGCAGGCAGATTCTTAACCACTGTGCCACCAGGGAAGTCCCTGTGTTACTTCTTGAGATAGTTTTAGTGAATTATATTTTTCCAGAAATATATCCATTTTGCTTAAATTTTAAATTTCTTATTGATTGCATTCTATGATCTTTTGAATTTCTGCTCTTTCTGTACTATCATTCCCTATTTATTCCTAAGATTGTTGATTTTCCAACAGAGATTTGTCAGTATAACTAGTCTTTTCTAATTACATTGAGAATCAAATTTGGCTTTGTTTGTCCTCTCTTTTCTTATAATATACACACTGGAACTTATTTCAGTGATGATTTATTGGTGGTTAATGTACTATTTTTGTTTATCTGAAATATACTCTTGTTAATGAAATAAAACTTTACACAGGAGAATTGGGAAAAAATCATCCACTACCTTTTGGCTTCCATTGTTGCTGATGACAAATATGCTCTTAGCCCAGACATCATTTCGAACAGGTAATCTGTCTTTTCTATCTGGTTGCTTTAAAGGTCTTCTCTTTGCCTTTGGTATTCTGTAGTTCATTGTGATGTGTCTAGATGTTGACTTTGTATTTATTCTGGTTGGCGGTCAGTGAATTTCCTCAATCTATTGATTCATGCTTTGACCAGTTCTAGAAAAATCTCAGCTACTACATCTCTATTGCTTGTCTAATATTCTGTGTATTCTCTCTTCCAGGAAGTGTGAGTAAAAGAGTTAGACATCATTCGAACTTCTTACTCTGTGTCTCTTAATCTCTTTTGTATTCTGCATCTCCTTTCAACTATGTGCTGCCTTCTAAGTGAGTTCTTCCAATGTCATTTGCATTTCACTAATCCTCTCTTCAATTAGTTCTTTAACCCCTGCTGAGTTGTATCTTTTATTTTTCATTTCCATAAGTTTCTGACCCTTTTTCAAACTCCGTTGATCATTTCTGATAGTCTCAAAACTGAGAACTTGCTCATTTTTTTCAATGTTAATCTTTTATTTCCTGAATACATGTCTTCTTCTTCTTTTTTTTTTGGCTGTGCCACATGCAGGATCTTAGTTCCCTGACCAGGGATCAAACCCATGCCCTGTGCAGTGGAAGCTCGGCGTCCTAACCACTGGACCACCAGGGAAGTCCCAATAAATGTCTTCTAATATCTGACATTTCATATGGGTCTGTATCTGTGGTTTGCTCTTTCTGTTGGCCCTTATGCATGATGGTGTGTTTGTTTTATTGTAAACTCAAATTTAACTGAATTTAATCTGTTGGACCCCTGAGGAGATTAGAATAAGAGCACCTTATTCTCTTCTACCCAGAGAAGATCTGGATTTGCTTCTACTCGGTGCTAAGAAGAGCTGCCTGTAACCATATCAGTTTCCTGGCCTGGAAATTCCTTAACCATAGGGGTAGTATAAAATTACACCATAACCCTTGCGAGAACAGACCTATGTTTACCGATTCCCAGAGGATCCTTTTCTATTTTCTTCGCCCTATTCAGAGCAAGGTCTGATGGGTCATCTCATAGGCTCCCTGTGCAGGCTGCAGATTTTTCCCAGCCCACCCATTCACTAAGGGTGTAACCTCTTAAAAGCATCTCCTAGTTTGTCCTGAAAGGGTTAATCACAAAGTTCTAGAGTTCTGGTACTTTGATTTACCCCTACAGCAGCACAGGCTTTTATGTTTCCCACCGCTTTCCATCCTGGTTTCAGCTACTCTATTTCCCTGCCTCTTGCTTTCTTGGGAGATCAGCAATAGATTTCAAGTTACATATTTGTGAACATGTTTCAGCATCTGTTTTACAAGATGGATTTTCAAAATGTCTAGTCAACCACGCTCCCCAGAGCCAACAGCCCTTTTATTTATTTAAAATTATTTTTCCTATTAGTTATACTAATTCAATTATTCCTAGAAATGTAGATCCAGTTATTTTAATTCAACTGTTCACTGTATCTTTGGCTATGAAGAAACAATAGCACATAATATAAATTTAACAAGGTATCAGTTATAAAAGGAGAGATTTACTACACCACTCCCCTGTTCTTGGAGGATCAATGGTTTCCATCTTTTGGAGTGAGGTGCCTTGAGTACTAGGACCTACCATACCAGCCCAGAACAAACATACACATGACTTTGGTTGAATCTAGTTAGATAAACACTAGATATGCTTGCTGAACAAACACACAAGAAAAAGACTTCAAGATAAAGGTAACCGAGTCCTACTATATTCAAAACATCCTCAACACATTTTGTAGGTATGATAAATATCTGCCTTTTAAATATGTAACTATATGGTGTTATAGTATAGCATGCAAATGGTAGGAGTCAATAAATGATAACTGCAGTAAATGTTTACACACAGCACATTGGTTAGTCAAGTAAAAATGCCTCCATATCCACAATCTGTTCAGACCACCTGCAGTTTAGATATAATCTTTTTAAAAAAACCAAGTCTATCGCATACTCTAACCAACTCCCTTTTCAGTGAATATATTAACCACTTTTCTTTAGCCAAATGAAAGAGAAGACCTCATGCTATTGAATGGTGTTTTCTGAATGGCTGAAAGCAGTTAAAACTAAATTCAATCCAAAATTTGGAAAGAGAAGTAAAAACTGGCAGTTCCAAGTTTTACAGCAGTCTAAGAAGGAAAGGCTATCTCCAGCATGAAGTCAAATCAGGATGGCAGCCTAGATGAACTCAGAAAAACTCCCAGCCCCCAATGCAAACTTCAAAGTCACTTTCTCATTTTGGCTGCTAGGTTAAGAATTCTTAGATAAACAAAGATATTATTTTTCTAATAAAAGTTTAAAGCATTTTTTCAATCCTCATGAATTATTCACCATTTTCGGATTATTTGCCTATTACGGTCATTCATAGTCAATTATAATAAAGTAGTTCATTATAACCTAGGATTAAATGACTCAATAATATTTGTATCCAGAATTAAGAATAAGTTATGGGCATTCATTTGAAACTCCCTGAAACACTAGCCACCTCCAGAAAACCACATAACACATACTTGGGGAGTGGGCATGGGGGCAGATAGAATGTGTAGTCGGGGGTCGGGGAGAGGACACGGAATCAGACCTAAGGAGAAAGTATAGGATGAGGCAGTAAACATAAATCAGAGAAAAAAAAATGAAAAAGTTACAGGCTTTCCTTACTATGATTAAGAGTTACTAACAAAGTATCACATGGGAAATAGTATAATGGTTAATATTCCTCATTAAAAAAAAAAGTAGACAGCTAGAATTTTAATACTGATTCTGTCACTAACTGTTACCTCCAACAAGTTACTCAATTATACATGATTGTTTCTTTATCTAAAAAAAGACGAAGAGAAGGTAAATCAGAGAGATATTGCAAGAACTGAAAGAAATAATGTAAATAATATGTTTAATAAAGTTCTTGACGTATAAAGTGTTTATATGTCAAGAGAAGAACATATATCGTATATCAACGCATATATGTGGAATCTAGAAAAATGGTACAGATGAACCTATTTGTAGGGTAGGAATAGAGACGTAGATGTAGAGAACAGACATGTGGACACGGCGGGGAAGGGGAGGGTGGGATGAACTGGGAGATTAGGTTTGACATAAATACACTACCATGTGTAAAATAGATAGCTAATGGAAACCTGCTGTACAGCACAGGGAGCTCAGCTCAGTGCTCTGTGATGACCTAGATCGGTGGGACGGGGGGAGGGTGGGAGGGAGGTCCAAGAGGGAGGGGATATATGTTATACATATAGCTGATTCACTTCACTGTTTGTCAGATAAAAAAACTAACACAACAGAAACTAACACAACACTGTAAACCAATTTTACTCCAATTAAAAAAATAAAGTAAAATAAAACAAAATAAAGAATAATAGTATTTGTTAGTTTCACTAGTATGAGTACTTTGATGATGACATGATTTAAATCACAATATAATTTCTGGAGAGACATTTAAATCACAATATATTTTACTTGGGGAAAACTGTAACTGGGTTTTAAATAGTTAATTCTCAACCCATAACTAATTGCAAAACTAAGGCAAAATAGAGCAGTATCTCAGTCTCCAAATTTAGTTTTTGAAATAGCTATTATAACACACAAGATAATTGAGATCAGCATTACCTTATCAAGTACTCCATATGGATTTTCTGCATTAAAATGAAGAGGAGCATAGAGTCTGAATCGCTCTCTGAACTCTGCCTGCTTCTCCTGATCAAGGAAGAAAAAAAACTGAAAGTGAATCTCAAATAGCTTCAATTAGCCTTATAAAACCCTTCTTTAAAAAAAAAAACCAGAACAACAGAAAACCACAAAGCTTGCTAGCTAGCTTACATCAAACAAAATACATTTTTTCCTTATAAGAGTGACTTCCGCATTTTGGAGAGGTGAGATTTCATGTCTGACAGTTGCTGCAATCTTTTTGGTAGTTTTCCATCTTTCAGGTAATTCCTACAAAAACAAAGGTGCAAATGGGAAGTTATTTCAATACCTAAAACAAATCTACTCCACAGGATTAAATTTTTCTAATCTCTTTCCACTAACTCATGACATCCTTTCATTCTTGTCTAAGAGAAAGAGTTTACTCCCAAAAAGAGTAAAGGGACTAAAACACCTAGAGCCAGGCTGAATCCCACTGGCACCTTTGGAGTCACATCTTCCAAGCGTAAACCAGAGCTGTCCTCTGGTATAAGATCTACCTCAGCATAAATGAAAACCTTTTCAAAATAAACAGAAATTTCCAAATTGTTTTACTATTGAGGGAATAACATTAAAGTGCTCTGAAAATGACTTTGCTGATCTAACAGCTAGAAGTGGAGCCATGTTTAGCAATTTAGCAAGCGAAAAAAAGACGCTCTGAATCTGGTGGGCAGAGATGAAAATGTGAATCAATCTTATCCTTCGTTTTCCTCTGGCTCCCAAAGCTGTGTTTTTACTTGGTTTGGATGGAGAATTTGAACATTTGGGTTAATTTTAAATGACTAGGGTTTTTGAAGTAAGATGAGGCAAAGGGAAGGGATGGTTAATTCCTACTTGATGGAGGACAAAAGCAGCCATGAATTGTTCAGGTAGCAACTCAACTCTGCTGTCCCTGACTACAATGCAACTAGGACAACAGCAAATTACTTTCTTTGAAGAGCCCTTGTGCTTAACTGCTGTTGAAAAGCATTCCTTGTGTCCAGACTAAGAAAGCATTGTTTCTCTGTGTCATCTCCCAGGACACTGAAATTGTTTTGTCACACAAAACCACCCATGGTGACGGGACTCTACTTGTGTTGCTGAAGCACAAAAATAGGTTCCAAAGACTATTTTGTAACCCTGATAAATATCTGATGAATGATTTGGTAACTGCCAATTATGAACAGTGCGTTGTGCTAAGTATAAATTGTACCTGAGTGGTGGAGGAGGGCTACAAAGATAAAACACATTCTTGAGATTTAAACTGCTGTATCATCTGTCAGAGTGAATGAGAGGTACACAAAATAACTATTCTACATGACAGAATGTGTTAACTTTGATCAGGAGGTCTATATGTTATGGAATTAAAATGCTTGGGAGGCAACGTGGTGTCACAATGGCAATACCCGACCAGGCCAGGAACTAAAAGACTTGAGCTCTAAAGCACCTTGTTTTTCATCTTGCTCTTCCATCCATCTTCTCATCAAAACTCTGCATCCTCATCTGTCCAGAGTGTCACTTTACATTTCCAATTGACCCCATGGAACCTAAATGTCACAGGGAGTCCCTTCGGGGCCATGGGAGAGAAGACGTGAAGAGGTCACATCAGTGGGTCCAGGCTCCTTAACCTTAACCTTCTGCAATGACACTAGACCTGCTGTTACCTGCTTTATATTTGGGGATTCCAAAGAATCTTCCACTGGATAAAAATAAACTTTCATTGAAAACCAAAAGATCAGATGACCTCCAAAGTTGAACTAATACTGATCCACTCAAGGAACGAACACTGCATCAGAGGCGCAAAACAATGACTGGATTTCCACAGGCAGAGATGAGGGTGAGACCCTTCAACATCCCGTGAGGTAAGATTTCCAATGCAGGATGGGGTGAGAGTGTGGGCTCTACAGAAATTGTCTCTTGTCTCTACAGACAAGATTCTGAGGCTAGAGACAGTCAATGAAGGTTTCTTAACAGGGAAGGGACTTGATAAAATCTATAGATCAGAAGTGTAATTTAGCTTCAGAGCACACTATAGATAGGGTGTGAGGACAAAGCCATGCCTAGGGGCTTTTTTAGCATCAAACCAAGCACAGGCAAGTTTTGGGAAATGTTATGACTGCTAATGACTATGAAGGAGAAACAGCAACTCTCACAAATTGCTTAAATTAAAACAAAATTGGGACACTGTTATCCTCCACGAGCAGCCTGAACTGCCTGTAAATCTTATTTTTCCCCCTGACCAGCCTGAATTACCAACATTGAGACACACACAGAGCTAAGAGTGTGTCTCACTTCTGAAATATTGAAAAGCCTAATATTTTCAATACTGCAAAAACCTTAGTGAGCCAAACTTTTATTTTTATAGAAAAAAGGCAGAATAGCACATTTGCTTTTATTCATCTTGGAAACACAAAGAGTCCATTAGCAAAGCATATAAACTAAGAAACACATAAAAGATGTTTAAATCTTCCACCTGACCACAGCACTGAAACTGAATACATACACCTCCATTTTCATAAACAACTAAGACAACAGTCAGAACTAAGTGACCTGATCAAACATGTCTGCGTCGTTACACTCTCCTAATTAGCTTACTGTTGAACAATGTAAATAAGGTGTCATATGTATCAGGAACATTTGTTAAAGACCTAAAAACAGACAAGAGAAATGAATGGAATCTAGCTTTAGTGAAGTGGGAGCCAAAGTTTTATAATACAAATTCTGGAGGCCATGGCCATAATCTCCCATCAATTACTTGTGTTATGACTGGTTTCTCTATATGACATAAAATTTTAAGGTTCAAGGTCTGACTCAAGGAATATCCCAATCTTCCTAAAAAGAGACATTTATAGTGTGTTCTACTGTTAACTATTTCAACTCTCACTCTTGTTATGTATCTATCCACATCATCTCTCACTCCATGTCTAACTGGATTTTCAGTTCTAAAGCCAGTTTTATACTTACACAGAATCTAATAATTCATATATAGTAATTCTTTGTAGTCAAGAGAGCATCTATAAATACATTGTTGCACTTCATCCTCACAAAACAAAATGAGGAATATAAAATGGAGCAGCTGCTGTGAAAAACATTTTGGTGGTTCCTCAAAAAGTTAAACTTGGAATTACCATACGACCCAGCAATTCCGCTCCTAGGTGTTTTCCAAAAAGATCTGAAAACAGGTACTCAAAACACTTGTGCACTCATGTCCACAGCAGCATTATTCACAATGGTCAGAAGATGAAAAAAGCCCCAATATTCTTCAATGGGTGAAAGGCTAAACAAACTGTATATGTGTGTATGTGTGTATATACACACATACATACATACACACACACACACACACACACACAAACACACACACACACAATGGAACATTATTCAGCCATAAAAAGGAATGCAGTAGTGATATATGCTACAACGTTAATGAACCTCAAAATCGTCATGCCAGGTGAGAAAAGCCAGATACAAAAGGTCACATATTGTATAATTCCACTTGCATGAAGTATCTACAGTAAGTAAACCCGTAAAGACAGGAAAGGATCAGCAGTAGCCCCGGACTGGTGGCAGGTAGTAGGGAAGGAGTGGGGAATGACAACTAATGGCTATGGAGTCTCTTTGGGGGTGAGGAAAATGTTCTGAAACTAGAGACAGGCAGTGATTACACAACCTCCTGAATGTACTAAATGCCACACACTTTGAAATGGTTACTTTTACGTTATGTGAACTGTGAATTTTACCTCAATTTTTTAAAAAATGGGGCACTGGAGACAATATATACAAATTTAAAAAGTGAGGGATCTTGAGGGATATTTTACCGAAGAAGACATGCTCTGAGGCAAGCAGATGAGATGGACTAGCAGAAAACAAATCTAAGTTTGAGTTCCATGCTCTAATCACTGAACTAGACAGAATTCAATAAAAGCTCTTTAGTTAATGTGTCCACCGATCACACTGCACGGTTAAACCTAAGCTCACCCTGGAAGCTGGTGGATGACATAAACATACAAACTATCTACAGAAACTCAATATGGGCATGGGAATAGAGCCTCAACTGTGAGATTTTTATTCGTGATTTCAGTTATAACTACAAAGACTTTGTACATCGTTTGGCACACAGCAGCCACCAAGTCATTCCAGAACACGGAAAGAGGAGGATGACACAGAAATCCTGTTTAGGAAAGTGACTTCTCCAGCCAAACTGGGCTTTACTTATTCTTTCTTAACATGTCCATGATATGTTTCCAAAGACTAGGACACTTCTCAACTGACAGGCAATTTAAATGAAAGAGAGCTGGAATTTGTTTCACATGTGAAAGTGATGATATAAGTGGAACCCAAAAAAGTAACTTAGAAGCTCTCTATTACCTGAATACCTTCTAACGTGAAGGCAGTGGAGTACAGTCAGGCAGAGCGAGGACGTGGGCATGAAACACCCCTAGGTTCATGTGGGCTGGCTTTCCTACTTGTGTGACCTTGAGAAAATTACTAGGTCCCTTTAAGCTTCAGATTCCTAAGCTGTACAATGAAAACATTAATATCTACAGTATAGGGTGTTTATGAGGGTGTCATAAGACAGTGCATGTGAAGAACAGGAGATGCTCAGTTTATGGTAATCATGGTTATTTTAGCACCTCACTGACCTCTAGCTGAGCATAGATCTGCTCAGGCATCTTCTGGCCATATGTTTCCAGTAGTGTGATGGTTTCTTTTAGTGGTTCAAAGAGTTCATCAGTAGCTCTCTGTCGGCTTCTTACAGCCAGAAGATGCCCCATAATGTCAACTAAACCATCGTGATCGCCTTCACTTAATTCTCTCTGAAGTCCAGCATCTGTCTCCTTTATAAACTCTTGTAGCTCATTCAGACTATAAAAACATGTATACACACATACAAACACAAATTAAGCTCATTAAAACATTCAGAAGTATAACTTCTGACTGAATCTAATTTTCACTATTTACCTAATTAAACATTACTTGCTATCTCTCTTATAGAACTGGCAGTTTTAATGCTCTTAAAATTAATATCTCAATTTTAAGAAGGAGTCAGGTGTTAAAAGTTATAATTCCAAATACCAAAGACTACCTGTCAATGACAAATCTCAAAAGATGCTCCTGAAACATCCAGCTCCATTTCCTGATAATGTTTAGCAAGCTCACTTTGAAAGGCTTCATGTCCACCTTGAACCAACCGTCAAACACTCTGAAGTCATCAAACTTGCTCATCTGAACATACAAAGCCTCATAAATGTCAATCTATAATTAGAAAAAAAAATAGTCACTGTATAACAACTCAATCAAAAGCTAGTAACTACATAAATGCAGAGGGTTTGCCTTGCCTGTTCTTTGAATTTTTCGAGTGTTGGTGGTTGTCCGGGAATGTCTTCATTTGCGTGAGGCCCTGTCTCCTCAGATGACACAGTATGGCCATACAGGAGGAAGCGCTTCATAAACTCGGTCCGGTCATCCACCCAGAGGTAAGCGTATGTGTCCAGGGTGTTTCTGAAGTCCAAGACTTTGTTGATGACGTCTGCCACTCTCTTCATGATCTCCTGCCTGACCTCCACCAGGCCCAGCATATTGTCCATATCATTCTAAATGAGGGGAGAACCAAGCATTTATTAAAGCCAACCCTGCTCTATCAATTATGTGCAACCTAACATTATCCAAGGCCATTCTTCAAAAGAATAGTTGGTAAAATAAAAAAACTGTGTTGCTTTTCCCACTTCTCCTTTCCTTGCGCTCCCCATTACCCCAATTTATTTTGAATCATTAATATAAAAGCTAATTTTATAATTAATCATAACTGTAATTAATATATATGTATATGTATGGGCGTTCAGAATTCAAATGACTGGGTAGTTGAGTAAGCACATTTTTTTTGAATCCTGGGAAATTGCAACCCTCTATATCCTTCTCTGTCTTTTCATCGGAAATATTGCTTCTTAATATTTTCTCTTTTGCATTTATATATCTAGGAATGAGGCATTTTCTTTCATGTGGCTTTATACTATTTTAAAGAGCTGTTCTAAAATTCCTGATTTTCCTGGCTGCCTCAGGATCCGCTCACAGTATCTTGCTTTTACGTTAAATACAAACAAAATTAATCATACATGATGTAAATACAGCAAAAAACAGTGGACATTAGAATGGAGAACACTAGAACTCAAAATTGAAGTATATTCAGATTAAAAGCTTTGCAATTAGCTTGGCATTTATTTGTAACTCTAAAGAGATGTGTGAAATTGGTTAACATATATGTAAATATGTTGAATTTTTTTAGAGTAATGTTTCCTGTTCAGTGCTGATTTCTTTGGATTCTGTTCTCTGCATTCAGTATTCAGTAATACTACCAATAAACGTAGTTATACTCTCTTAATCTATTAATGTGTATATAATTCACAATAAATGTAATACCCATTTACAAAGAACATACCTGGTAATTTGCTGTTTCCAGATGTGCTGCTACTCGCTTCATCTGGGCAGACATTCTGAAACTACTGCACAGCATTTCTTCCACCAGATCATAGAAGCCATCCCCAGCCTCTCTTTCTAAAGAAGGTTTAAACAGAATCTTCGGAGGCATTAAGATCATCTGTGCTTGAAAAAACGGTGCAGATTTCAGTTGTTTCTCTGTGTTCATCAGGAAGAACTCTAAGTCATGCATTATTGCTTGAAAAAAGCCTTCCACCACGATGTCATCAATGAATTCTACATAAATCTTCCAAGCATCCAGAGAAGGAGTGGCTCTGAACAGCTTCCTATTTTCCTACAAACAGACAAGTATTAATAAACCAGTATAGACAATAGTGAGTATAAAAACAAAAGCTGTCCATTTAAATGGCTTGTTGAAGGGGCTACACTTGGGGGCACAGCATAGAAACATTCAAATGCTTAGTTGTAGAATCTTAAGCTAGATGGCAATGATCTAAGCAGAATTTTGTAACATTTAGTTCACTTATAAGATACATTCAAAAGTCATTCTTTAAAGATGCTACCAGAAAACTACTAGAGCTAATCAATGAATTTGGTAAAGTAGCAGGATACAAAATTAATGCATAGAAATCTCTGGCATTCCTATACACTAATGATGAAAAAGCTGAAAGTGAAATCAAGAAAACACTCCCATTTACCAGTGCAACAAAAAGAATAAAATATCTAGGAATAAATCTACCTAAGGAGACAAAAGACCCCTATGCAGAAAATTATAAAACACTGATGAAAGAAATTAAAGATGATACAAATAGTTGGAGAGAGATACCATGTTCTTGGATTGGAAGAATCAACATTGTGAAAATGACTCTACTACCCAAAGCAATCTACAGATTCAGTGCAATCCCTATCAAACTACCACCGGCATTTTTCACAGAACTAGAACAAAAATTTTCACAAATTGTACGGAAACACAAAAGACCCCGAATAGCCAAAGCAATCTTGAGAACGAAAAACGGAGCTGGAGGAATCAGGCTCCCTGACTTCAGACTATACTACAAAGCTACAGTAATCAAGACAGTATGGTACTGGCACAAAAACAGAAATATAGATCAATGGAACAGGATAGAAAGCCCAGAGATAAACCCACGCACATATGGTCACCTTATCTTTGATAAAGGAGGCAGGAATGTACAGTGGAGAAAGGACAATCTCTTCAATAAGTGGTGCTGGGAAAACTGGACAGGTACATGTAAAAGTATGAGATTAGATCACTCCCTAACACCATACACAAAAATAAGCTCAAAATGGATTAAATACCTACATGTAAGGCCAGAAACTATCAAACTCTTAGAGGAAAACACAGGCAGAGCACTCTATGACATGAATCACAGCAAGACCCTTTTTGACCCACCTCCTAGAGAAATGGAAATAAAAACAAAAATAAACAAATGGGACCTAATGAAACTTCAAGCTTTTGCACAGCAAAGGAAACCATAAACAAGACCAAAAGACAACCCTCAGAATGGGAGAAAATATTTGCAAATGAAGCAACTGACAAAAGATTAACCTCCAAAATTTATAAGCAGCTCATGCAGCTCAATAACAAAAAGACAAATGACCCAATCCAAAAATGGGCAGAAGACCTAAACAGACATTTCTCCAAAGAAGATATATAGATTGCCAACAAACACATGAAAGAATGCTCAACATCATTAATCATTAGAGAAATGCAAATCAAAACTACAGTGAGAAATCATCTCACACCGGTCAGAATGGCCATCATCAAAAAATCTAGAAACAATAAATGCTGGAGAGGGTGTGGAGAAAAGGCAACACTCTTGCACTGCTGGTGGGAATGTGAATTGGTACAGCCACTATGGAGAACAGTATGGAGGTTCCTTAAAAAACTACAAATAGCACTACCATATGACCCAGCAATCCCACTACTGGGCATATACCCTGAGAAAACCATAATTCAAAAACAGTCATGTACCAAAATGTTCATTTCAGCTCTATTTACAATAGCCCAGAGATGGAAACAATGTAAGTGTCCATCATCGGATGAATGGATAAAGAAGATGTGGCACATATATACAATGGAATATTACTCAGCCATAAAAAGAAACGAAATTGAGCTATTTGTAATGAGGTGGATAGACCTAGAGTCTGTCATACAGAGTGAAGTAAGTCAGAAAGAGAAAGACAAATAACGTATGCTAACACATATATATGGAATTTAAGGAAAAAAATGTCATGAAGAACCTAGGGGTAAGACAGGAATAAAGACACAGACCTACTAGAGAATGGACTTGAGGATATGGGGAGGGGGAAGGGTAAGGTGTGACAAAGCGAGAGAGGCATGGACATACATTCACTACCAAACGTAAGGTAGATAGCTAGTGGGAAGCAGCCGCATAGCACAGGGAGATCAGCGTGGTGCTTTGTGACCTCCTGGAGGGGTGGGAGGGAGGGAGACGCAAGAGGGAAGAGATATGGGAACATATGTATATGTATAACTGATTCACTTTGTTATAAAGCAGAAACTAACACACCATTGTAAAGCAGTTATACTCCAATAAAGATGTAAAAAAAAAAAAGTCATTCTTTAAAGGTGAAATCATTAAGAAGATTGCTATCTTCAAATATTATGCAGACAAGAAATACACTAGTTCCCAATGCATCCTAGATGTATGGGGCCTGGGCTCTGGTTCTGGCCCTGTCCCTGACTCTCTGTGGCTTTGGACCTTGCCTGCCCTGGCCTCACCTTAAATGAGGTTTCCCAAAGTGGCCCTCCCGAGAACGCTGTTCTGGGATATCTAAAGATCACCAAGTCAGCAAAGAGCTATGTGTTTTAGGATATTCTTGGAGACTCACAGTGTACCTATTATGTTAAAGTCCATTTAACCTGGTTTAACCAATTGTCTCCAAACACAAAGATATTTTGTGCCAATCACCTATGAGCAGCTTGTGGAAAAACGGTAACTTGGCTTGGGAAACACTGGCCTGGTGAAGTCCAGGCCCCCTTTGTGCTTCAACAATATGAAAGTCTTTGACCTCAGCATCTCCCTAGCTTGTGGGTGAAGTAATGGATGGGCCAGTGGGCATGACAGGGCCAGACATGGACATGGTTAAGGACTGCTAGAGGTTGGGCACAGTGTGGCAGGCCTAGGGACAGCGATTTGAAAAGGTCAGGTAAGCAGCAAGGTTGATTCCAGAAGTACCTTCTGAGGGGCAAAGGTTACACAGTCTATACAGGCCAGAGGGCAGATGCCCAAGGCAGAAACTACTATAGCACACAGAAGAGACGACACTAAAATGGGAGCTGATTATAAGGGAGATTATGCTCTCTGCTTTCTGTGATTATTCACTACTGTGGATATATGATCTAGGATTCAAAGGCGTGTGCTACAGGCAAGAATCAGAACTACAGAGGTGAGTCTGATAAAGCAGGGCAGAGATGAACAAGTTCTTTGAGGGTTTTTTGTCCTCAAACAAATATAAGAACTGCTCTTTTCAGGGATGCTGTCTTGCCTGCCCACCACGTGGAAGCATTCACATCTGTGTAGTGTATGTGACCCACACCCCTGGAGATGGGCAGTACACATCCCAGGCAGCTGTACACAGCAGTCCTGAGCTCCATTGTAGGAGCTAGTTTAGGGGTTGGAAGGGTGAAAAAAAATCCTCAAAGACTATCTTGTTCAGGCTCTTCATCTTTACGGTATAAAACAAAGACCTAAAACACATCCAGCGTCACATTCATAGGAAGTAAGCAGCTGAGCTAGAACTAGAAGCCAGTCCTCTTGACTCCCCAGAGTAGGGCTCTTTCCAACATATCACAGTAATATACCTGTGATTGCCTCACTGTTAATACTTTCTCATATCAAGAGATCCACCTTATATCACTACAGTGGCATTTTTAAGAAACTGCTGTATGTTCAACAATTTAGGGAAGGGAGGAAAAGGAAAAGAAAGGAGAGCTTTGGGTCACTAAACGATTGCTTGGGTCCCTTCCAGATCCAATCTTCCATGGTTCTGCCCTTCTCTCTTCATCTGAGACACTGACTGCAGACCATCCACAGAGATCCTACAGCCACAAAGGATGCAGCATGAAAGGGCAGAACTCACACACTTTCTGCTGTGTTTCTATGTCTTTCCCCTAAACCACATTTCCTTGCTGCAAGTCTGAGAACCAAACTCAATTTCATGTGCAGATAAGAGGGGGAAAAGTCACTTACAAGATAACTTACAGAAACAAATAATCATTTCATCTCTATTTTGAAGTTGAGTTTCCTCAAGTTGGAAGCACTCCACAGGTCTAAGTGACTTCCAAGCTTCTTAGTTTTTGATTTAAGGGAAAAAGAGTCCATTTACTAGTAGAAAAATTCCAACTTTATTCTCTGAGAATACCACGGCCAAACCTTGTTTGTAACTATTTCTAGTCATGTACTGGCAATGTTTTCAATGCATAGTAATCAACATTCATATATCTTACTTGTCTAAAACCCCCAAGTTAGTGTTTAGGGAGCCCACTTTCCTATTATCAAGAAAATGTATCAGAAGAAACTAATTGTAATCCATCATCTGTCCTCCATGAGGCAGATTCCAATGCATAAACACTTGTAAGGATGTCCTGAAAGTCGCAGAATAATTCACAGCCATCTCAGCAAACTAGGAACAGTCGAGGTCATGACTAAGTTAAGACATTGCTGAAAAAACAACTTTCCAGATATATACCTTCTTTACATGTCAGAACATCCCCAAGATTCCCTCAAGGCTACCCAGGCCTTAGGGGGAGCCTTCAGAGGGAGCATGGCCCTGCCCACACCTTGATTTCAGACTTCTAGCCTCCAGACTGAGAGAGAATATTTTTCATCGCTTTAAGACATCCATTTGTGGTACTTTGTTATAGCAGCCCAAGGATGCTACCACAGGCAGTCATCTAAGAAGGCAAAGTCTTTGCCCTAGCAGATTGCTACCAGTAGGAAAAATTAAAACTTTCTTACATGTTTCAGACAAACTTGGAAGTCAACAGAAACTTTGAAATCCATACGAATTCTTTTCTTTCTTTTCTTGTTGTGACACATACTCAATACAGCATATCAAATGTACCACATCTTACTTTTCGGTGAGCAAGTTTGTTACTCTTCAAACCCTTTCTTCACACAACTGCAATGCCAGCCTATGCAAAAATCTGCCCTTGGGCAGGCATCTCTAACTAACGTGCCCAAAAACAAATCCTGTCTTTTCCGTGCAAGATCTGCTCTGCCATAGCCCTCCCCATATCAGTAAAGGGAAACTCTATTCTTCCAGCAGCCCAGACCAAAAACGTCAACATCGTCTCAACTTCTCTCTCCTCTGACTGATCACAGCAAATCCTCTTGGCTCTGCCTTCAAAGTACATCCAGCATATGACTGTTTTTTATCGCTACCGTCTGGACCCAAGCCATCTTCACTTGGATTACAGACTCATCTCCTAACGGTCTCCTTGTCTACCATCTCCTGACCCCCCTGTAGTTTACACTCAACAGGGAAAGCTTTTGAGCAGTCTCCGGCTGCTATTTTCCCTCAGAGTAAAACCCAAAGTTCTCAAAATGGCCCGCTGATCCAGTGGGATGTGCCCTTAAGCCCTTTCAAACTTCACTGCCTACTATTATTCCCCCTGGAAATTCTGTTTCAGGCATGTTGGCTCTCTAACTGACCCTTAGACAAGCGACCCATACTCCTACCGTAAAGCTTGTGTACTCTGATGCCTAGAACATCCATCTTCCATTCCCCACCTAGCTCATTTCCTTTCAGTTCTCTGCAGAAATGCTACCTTAGTAAAGAGGCCTTTCTAACTACCTCATACACAATGTCCACCCCACCTGCCACTGCTTCTCTATCCCACCATCTCTGCTTTATTTTTCACCATTGCTCATATGACCGATTGAAGATACTACTATATATTTGTTATTTTCTCTTTCTACCTTCCCTAACTAGGATGTAAGATCCAAGAGGCAAAAGACTTTTTTGTTTTATGCTTTTGTTTCTCTGCCTTCTGTTCTTTGTTCTTGTTGTTTTATTTCTTGTCTTCTCTTACACTGATAACCCTGGAATAGTGCTTATCACTGCTGTAAAAACTCAAGTGCTTGTTATAAGGAGAGTAACTACTGTTGCCACCCTCAGGAGATGGCTGAAAGGGTTATAGGAGATGAGGTAAACAAGGTGGATGGCACATAGAGGCATTCAGCAAGACAGGAGATAACTATGACCAAGATAAGGACACCATCTCTAGCCTTTCTGTTTCGTCAAAAGATCTCATATTCCTATCTCTTCCCTCAGAAATGAGCACAGCGAGGGCCACAGAAATTACAGACAAGTAACACAAATTCCTCCATTTTCAATGCTTAACAAAACCATACCTAAAGTTCTTTTGGGCCCAGAAAAAGAGCCCTTATTTTTGCTCTTTTCTAAACTAAGTGAAAGGATCTGCTATAAATTTCGAAGGCTTTAAAGCAAGTACCTCAACCAAGTTGTGTATCTTGCAGCCATCTTCCTGGAGTAGCGTGTATTTTTTCGTAAACAAATCACCCTTGTCCTCCCAAGTCAAGGCGGTCTCCCGCCTGTGTTCTCTCCAGGGAAGGAGCGTGCACTGCACCCAAGCCCGCATCGTCTGCTGAATCACTTTGACGTTGTTCTGCGCATGCTCCACTCTGCGCTCCAACTCTGAGGTGGCCATCTTCATCCTCTCGATGTCCCCCCAGCAGTCATCCTGCCATGTCAGCGATGCGGCGGCTGCCTGCAGTTCCTCATCCACAGCCCTCAGCTCTTCCTCAGCCAGGGGGTATTCAACTTCCAGAAGAGTCTGTTTCAGCTTATTATATCCTTGCACAAGAAGTTCAAGATTTCCAATGGACTGATTCAAAAGAAAACCCCAAGACAAAAAGGGCCACATGAGTTAAAGCTACTTTCTCTTGGAGGCATGGAAGTATCTTAGGTCTACATGTTAATAATTAAAATTCAAACTGTTTCTATTCAAAATCCACCCTAATATCTGAAAACACAGACCTTTAAAAGAGTGTTTCTTTTTTTGAAGATGGCTAAGGCTGAATCCGGTATGTCTGATTTCTTCAACATCAAAAGGTATTTAACTTCTCTTAATACGGCCACTAGCTATTAAAAGAAAAGCAAGGATTATTTAACATGATTTAAGAATATCATTCTTTTTTTTTTTTTCTTTTTTTTTTTTTGCGGTATGCGGGCCTTTCACTGTTGTGGCCTCTCCCGTTGCGGAGCACAGGCTCCAGATGCGCAGGCTCAGCGGCCATGGCTCACAGGCCCAGCTACTCCGTGGCACGTGGGATCCTCCCAGACCGGGGCACGAACCCACGTCCCCTGCATCAGCAGGCGGACTCTCAACCACTGCGCCACCAGGGAAGCCCAAGAATATCATTCTATTTTTAAAATCAAACGCTTAAAATTTCATCCAATGATTACAGTATTTTCAAACTGTCAAGGCAAAGGGGCTTTTGTTTCTCATGCTTTTTAAAAGCAACAATCATACATTCCATATGATGCAGAAGTATAAATAATAAAGGTAGAAATCATTGGCTATGGCCCACTGTCAGAGAAAGAATTCAAGCTAAAAAAGAGCAACATATACACACCAAGATCTGAAATGGGAGGCCATAAGCCAACCTCGGTCTTTTCCAAACACTGCTAGCTCTATAATAATGCTTGTTTTGAAAACACAACATGATTATACATGAGGGAGGACTGTGAACATGCCACAAGTTTTGTCTTTGCTTATCTGTAGTTTCATCAGCAATAAACGGCTAGGTAAATGCTAAAAACTGCAACCAGCTGAACAAAAAGGCTTAGGAATATGCAAAATGCTCATATGCACACACCACAAACATCCACCAGGTACCTCCACTCATAGATGTGTGATGAGCCAGCCCATCCAACTTCTGGTGGCCCAACTTTCTGCCTGGTTTCAAATGACCTTCCTTCCACCACCTCACAGTAATGCACAAGTCATAACGCACTTCCCTGAGCAAACTTCAGGTCTTTGTCAAGGGAAAGTACTATATTCATTGGAGCATTTATGTATTACTTGACCATTTAAAATGTATAAAACTATGCTCCTGTTCCTCCTAAGTTCCTTTTTTTGTTTTTGTTTTTGTTATTTTTTAATTGGAGTATAGTTGCTATATATTATGTAAGTTATATGTGTACAATATAGTGATTCACAATTTTTAAAGGTTATACTCCATTTATAGTTATTATAAAACATTTGCTATATTCCTCGAGTTGTACAATAATATATCCTTGTAGCTTATTTTATACCTAATAGTCTGTTCCTCTTAATCACCTACCCCTATGTTGCCCTACCCCTTCCCTCCCCCCAGGAGTAACCACTAGTCTGTTTTCTATATCTGTGAGTCTGCTTCTTCTGTTATATTCACTAGTTTGTTGTATTTTTTAGATTCCACATATAAGTGATATCATACAGTATGTGTCTTTCTGAGTTATTTATTTTTTTAAACGTTACCACTGACAAAGTTTTTGAGTACTGTACCCTAACCCTCATTTTCCCCATCAGCAATGTACTTTTTATTGTGCAGTCTTTCATAGTGCAGTGAATTTTAGGAATGCATATGTCGTGTTGTAGCAAAAGTGTAGCCCTAAATTACAGTTTCTGAGGAAAAGACCACATAACATGCTTTAGAAGGTACACCAGTTGACTTCCTTAGGCTGTCACTCCATAGGTTCACTAGTACAATATATTTGGTATGTTTATAATCCCTTCAGGTAGAATTGTAGGGATTATCCCTAAAACATCTCAGGAATCCAGTTTCTATAAATTGGTTATATGAAATCAGAAGGTAAAGCAAACCCTCAGTCCTCCAGGCCACATATTTATGTACCTGAGCTGAGGTTAATAAGGAAAAATAAGTGATGCAATTCTTTGTAATATTTCAGGGAAAGAACAGAATTTGAGTACAGACTGTGACTATTAAACTCAGTGAGGCTAACTTTCACCTCCTAGGCATACAGTTGGACTGCCATGAGACAGGGCAAGAAAACCTAAGCCAGAAAACATGTGATCAAAGACTAATGATTCTGTTCAATTGAGTTAATATTTATTAAATGTTACCAAGTGCCAGACACTATGTTAGACACATAAAACACAAAGATGAAATCCAATGGACCCTACTCTCAAGTAACTCATTATCCAGTAAAGTGGGAGTGGCAAATAAATAATTACAAGACAAAACAAGAAGGAATATTTAATATAGAATTTGGTAAGCAAATCCCTAAAACAAAGACCTATTAGAAGTTGTTTTTAATTATAGTCCTTGTAGCACTGACATTTTCCCAAAATAAAATACAAATGAATGGAGGTATGAGGAATATTCCTATAATAAAAAGGGCATCTATGAAACATTTTAAAAATATCAAACCCTTACCTTTGGGTCAAAGTTGACATTGAGAAGACCACTTACGGCACTGAATTTAACCAAGGGTTGATTCAAATTGAATTCACAGATTTCATCCACATTACTTTTCCATTCATTATAGATACGATTTTCAAACTGGTCTAGCAAAGCTGTCATCTCAGTATACTTCTGATAAACCAAGGCATCATCAGGACTTTCCAAGAATCTGTAGGAATATGTTTTTTATTTGTTACTTTTCTATACATTAGATAGATCTCAGCTTAGCTACTTTACAGTAATATATGATAGAAATAAGAAAGTACTCTATAAAAATCAGGATCAATAAAGGTCAAATAATGCTTCTGCATAGTCTGTGCCTTAAAAGATATAGTTATGAAATAAATGGAACTCCAAACAGCAACAAGTTATCAATTCCTACAAAGAAAAGAGAAAGATACAAAAGTCTGCAAAATAACAGGAGTGCTAGCTATTGGAGAAAGGAAAAACAATAACAAAAAGCTATCAACATATTGTGGATGAAATGGAAAAGTGAAATAAGACCTAAAAACATGGAAATATATGAAGTTCTAAGTCCTAAACATACTCCCAAACCATGGGGATAAATCCTTCTCAATGAGCCCAAGCAATGACAGGAGTTAAGTAAGGCAGTGACTCTTTAAGTGCTAAAATGAACAGCTCACTACCCTATATAAAAATTGCCTGTGTTGAAGGGATAATGTTACCACAAAAGAAGCCTAACTACTTACAGATCACGGAGAGATGCAAAGTTTGACCAAAACATTTGAAGTTGGTCCATGACCTCTTTAGCCCATTTGATATTTCCTGAGGTAAATGGCATATTCTTGTTAATGACTACATTTCCTTGTTCAATCTGCAAATTGATATTGTGGTGAAGAGGATGAAAGGGAACATTTAATCAGGGTACACTCCAACCTTGTAGGCAATTTTTAATTTTGGAACATTTACAGTACAAATATAAAGAACATACATGCAAAGTAACCTGATTAGTAGAAGAGTTACTGTCCTAAAGCAGGTTCTTCATATCCGTAAGGAAATCAATTACATAAAAGCATAAAAATTTTAGGGCCTGTATCTCCTCTTCAGTTATCATTCAGTGGAGCTCTACTTGACACCCTGACCCACAATATGATACTGTGGGTCTGTCAGACTTTATCCCCCCCCCCACTCACCTGCTGCACATGTTCATTATACAATTGCTTACACATATCCAACTCTGCACTGAACATGTGCACAAGTGTGCTGTAACGTGGGCTGAAAATTTCCATGACAACTGGTTTCTCAAGGAAATTCCCAAATACAGTCAAAAGCTATAAAAATCAAAGTGAAAGAAAGGTTAACCACCATGGGTTTTTAATACAAATACTTGATTCACTATTTCCTCCATTTAACTTCCTACATGACCAGACACAAAGCAAAAATCTAGATCCCTGCAAGTATCCTGCAATGTCTTCAGATTGAAAACACTTTAGCAGCTCACTAAAATTTCTATGCATCCAATAAAGCGAATTCTAAATGTAAAGCAGTTTCCCTTCCTCAGCAGAAAATGAGGAGTCAGAAGCAAACCACTGTCTGTTAGAAACCCCTGATCACAGCCGACACCCCTACTTCCTATTGGACACCAGGAAATGCTGTGAAGATGCTTTGCAGATTTAAGAACAGAAGCAAGATTGCGTACTTCTTATTTGCTCTTCCCTCCTACACATATACTCTTTAGAATAAGGAAAGCCATATCAAGGAACTCTAGGTCACACATTAATAATTATACTGTTATCCTGTGATAAACCATAATGGAAAAGAATATGAAAAAGAATGTATAACTGAATCACTTTGCTGTACAGCAGAAATTAACACAACACTGTAAATCAACTGCACTTCAATAAATTTTTTTTAAAAACATACAATTTGAGGAGAAAGAGGAAAGCTATACAATTCCCAACTGTTAAAAACAAACCAAAAAAAAAAAGAAATCATCTTCATATTTGCTAAGTGTAATCTGCTGTATGTCCTCTAGACTTAGAATCTTTCTGTTTGCCAAGTAACATCTTATGGAAAAATCCAAACGAACTTTTTGGCCAACCCAATAAATCAATTATACTTCAACTATACTTTTATTTTATAAAATAAATTCTAAAAAAAAGTTACACCAGAAGCATCAGTCACAGTGACCGTCCTGCCCACGGCCGCCCGTGTTTTGTACCCCAGGACCCAGCTACCCCCAACACAGCAGCTGGGGCAGCAGTGGCGACCTGTTCCAAGGACAAGCACTCCACAGGCTGACAGTTCCTTCAGTGTCAAAGTACTGGTTGAAACCAATGCCTTGAAATAATTGGAGTCTTTCTCAGAAAAAGAATGAGGGCATGGCAGGCTGAACCTATGCCGGTAAAATTTACAAGTGAAAAGAACCTACAGTTGAACATTGACAAAACGAGCTTGAAATGCGTGGGTCTACTTTTACACAAAACTTTCTCAATAAATACACTGGTAAATTTTTTTGAGAATTGCAACAATTTGAAAATTGTTCTCAGACAAGACAAACCACACTGCCAAGAAATATCAAAAAATTTAAGAAAAGGTATGTCATGAGTGCATGAAATATATGTAGATACTAGTCTATCCCTACATAGATATAAGGTGTTATTTAAAACCAAATTAATAATGTGTTAGGTTTCTTACTGTTTTATAACTTTGCTTTCAAAAAATTACACTACCATAATACAGTATGCCTTCCTCTCATAATTGGAGAAACTGAATATCAGCCTATCATCACAGCTGGTTTTTTTAAAATAATGTTTCCAATATTATATTAGAGTATGACTGTAATACTCTATGCCATAAAAATTTTATAATGATTCATTCATTAGTGTATAGGCTAGGCTCCCGTGAAACAATCCTATTGATTACACTAGGCTACCATAAAGCAATCATATTGCTGCTTCTTTTTATCAATGCATGAATCATTACACCTGTAAATAAATATGAATTTCTTTTTCACATTATCTCTTCATTTCTTTATGTCTAGTGTTAGTAATACATATAAGATCTACAGTGTTTTGTATTGTGCAAGGCAATATTGATGTAGGTACTGATGATTCATCTTGTAAACAGATGACATAAACTCACGGTATTGATGGAGTACAGTCTTGTAAAGATGTTTTCTCTTCCTTATGATTTTCTTAATAACATTTTCTTTTCTCTAGCTGACTTTATCGTAAGAATACATTATATAATACATATACAAATATGTATTAATCGAACGCTCATTATTGGTAAGGCTTCCGGTCAACAGTAGGCTACTGTTAACTCTGGGGGAGCCAAAAGTTAAACAGTGATTTTCAACTACATAGGAGGTCAACGCCCCTAACCCCTGCATTGTTCAAGGGTCAACTGTACTAACGAGCAGAGGAAGCCAGTGAGTAAGGGGACAGAAAAAGCAGACACGTGAACTAAAACAGAATCACATGACCAGTAAGGAGAAGTACGTAGGTCCAGAACTCCCTCCGCTCGGTCATCTCAAACTAACCTTGACCCCCTGTTTCCACAAAGCTGAGCTGTCTGGTGAGCCTAACCTTGGATTTCTATTTGCCTCCTGTCTTGTCTTCTGCCCCACCAGGATTCTTCTGTGCATCAGTGTGAGACAGCTTTCTTTGCAAGCAAAATAATGTAATAAACATACATATTTTTGTACAAGCAATGTTTATAGAATGCTGACTAGGTGCCAGGCACTATATTTTAAGGGTGTTAAAAATGCTGTTGTTATCACATGCTCCAGATAGGGAAACTGAGTTATGGGAAGGGGATAACTTGCCCAAATTTTCACAGCTAGTGCAGAGTTGGCATTTGACATGGACACTGGGCAGTCTGGCACCAGAGCCTCTGGTGCCTTGTGTAGGAACTCATCAGCCGAGGGGCCATTTAAAATTGCTATTTTGTTATTTACTTACTCTATGTGGGTTTCAGAAAATGTTAGCTATTTGGTCTGTTATATAGATATTTTCTCTGAAATAAAAGGAGATAGCTTCTCAAAATAACTAAATATCATCAAGGTGACAGAAAACCATATACTAAGGTTTGTGCCTTGTTAGTGATGTGACATGGCAAAAGAAAGAGCTTTGTTCTTGCTCTTAGAAAACTAATGGGTGTTCTCCCAAATTTGTTTTTATTAAAAAACAGCATCATTGTAAACAATTTGTAAACACTTCCAAAAAATACTTACTAAAAAAATCAACACAAGGAAAAAATTATACAAACTGAAATGTAAATCTAACCATATCTTAAGAGGCCAGTTTAGACAAACACACACTGGCTTTTCTTCTGGTAGTATCAATTATACCTACTGTAGAACTGTTGGTGGGAATGTAAATTGGTGCAGCCACTATGGAGAGCAGTATGGGGGTTCCTTAAAAAACTAAAAATAGGTCTACCATATGACCCAGCAATCCCACTACTGGGCATTTATATCCAGAGAAAACTTTAACTCAAAAAGACACATGCACCCCAGTGTTCATAGTAGCACTATTTACAATAGCCAAGACATGGAAGCAACCTAAATGTCCATCCACAGATGAATGGATAAAGGAGATATGGTATATATATACGATGAAATATTACTCAGCCATAAAAAAATGAAATAATGCCAGTTGCAGCAAGATGGATGGACCTAGTGATCATCATACTAAGTAAGCCAGACAAAGACAAGAATCATATGATATCACTTACATGTGGAATCTAAAAAATGATACCAATGAACTTATTTACAAAACAAAAAGTGACTCACAGACATAGAAAACAAACTTATAGTTACCAAAGGGCCGAGGGATTGGGGAGGGATAAATCAGGAGTTTGGGATTAACATATACACATTAGTATATATAAAATAGATAACCAACAATGACCTACTGTATAGCACAGGGAACTATACTCAATATCTTGTAATAATCTATAAGGGAAAAGACTCTGAAAAAGAATATGTATATGTATATATGTGTGCGTGTGTGTGTGTGTGTATATATATACACACACATATATATAACTGAATCACTTTGCTGACCACCTGAAACAAATCAACTATACTTCAAAAAAATTACTGTAGAAACTACTAAATATTTAAAATCTACTTAGTTAGCTGCTACCTAGCAAAATGCAAAGTATTAACTTTCTTCTTACAACCACTGTTTTGTTAACTTTGGACTTGATGTTAACATTCTGAAGTAAACATTGCCTCATAGATTTCACAAAGAAGTATACTCCAACTATAGTAGGGAAACACATTTATTTCACAACATTCTCTTTCAAGCCCTTATCATATCAACCGCAATACCAGAAGCTTCCCAGCCACATCTCATTTTGACCACCTGATACGCTTAGTGGGACTTAAGTCCAAGTGTAAAATAGGAAAGACAGAGAGAAAATATTCTTTGGGGAGGTTGTAAAGCCAGAAAGTAGTAGTAAACAGAGTCTTAACCTTTTATGCAGTATACATTACCTTAATTTTTCAACATCACAGATACATAAAAATTACCCTCCAGGATGAGAATAAACGTCATTTGAACTTGCGGTTTCCTTGTCACATTGGAACTAAGAGTTTTTTTATGGAGGCTACAGACATTGCCCTTCATATCAACCTCAAAAGATTCAAGATTGATTCCCAATACATGCTTCCTTCCTAAATATCCCACTGGAGATCTGTAAGGTTTACCTTAATTTTCTTCTACTTCTCATTTTCATTATGTAATATTTATATTTTTCTTAGGTTTGTCTTTTACAAAGATTTTTTAAATTTGTTGCCACTTGAACCATATATACTTCACAATTTTCTAGTTTTCTATTATTTCATCTAAAGACTTTTCTAGACACTTGTCTTATATACTTCAGTCTGCCTTCATGTAGAGAAACTGTAAATTTTAGAAAGCCATCCATCAGCATTGTGTTTTAATTTTTATTGAGCGCCAACCCTGTAGGGTCTGAGCCACAGCTTTATACTGTTTGGTTCCAGGGCCCTTCCTGCTCATGTCTTTGCCAAGAGCAGGTACTGAATCGTGGTCTTCAGAGAACAGTCTGCAAGAATTTATTCCCTGGGACACAACAGTAACTGGTCAGAGTTCATCATCCCGTACCTATGGTAGAAATCATTTTCTCCCCTAAATACACAACCCTGTAATTTTTTTCTTCTGCCACAACTCTTGCTGCAGTTATCTTCATCTGTGTGTCATTTCAGGACTCTGACAACCAGTCAGCCCTCCTAATGTCACAGTTATTAAGTGCCTGCTTTATACAAGGCGTTGCAGAAGATGATCTAGATATAACAAAAACTCTAAGATGATGTCCCACCCCTGGAAAGCTTATAAGGGCACCATCTCATGTTATATTTTGCAGCAGACAAGGTACAAATATGTGGAAAGTTAAAGAAACAAAATACATGACAAAAAAGAGATAAAATTGTTTAGAAAAAATAATTGGCCATGTACTAAAATAGAATCCATATGAATGGCTGTGAAAAGGGGAAGGAGAGAGGTCTGAATTAGAAAAGGTAGGAGCCTCTGTAACTGGGATTTCATTCTACATTCTTCTTGCAGTTATTTCTAAAAGCATGAAAGGAGGTCCAGTTACAGAGAATATGATAGACTACTACATAGCCACTAAAAATAATATTGTTGAATTCTGTTACAAAAGAAAAATTTTTATGATTCACTGCTTCCTGAAAGGGTTACAAAAAGATTACAAGGATCAGAATATGTCATTTTTTGCAAAGAGAAATATGTATGCATATCTAGTCAAAGAAAAGGAATGGCAGTAATAAATACAATAGTAATTTCTGAGAGATGGGATGACAGGTGGTGTTATTTTATAACAACAGGCTATATATTTCAGCTGGCAGCATCTCAGTTTCATCCAAGGGCTCTTAAGAGAGAACTATTTGAGCCTCGTGACTTCTCTGTTAAAACGCTTGACGGGGGTAGAAGACACTAGCCACTTAACTGCCATCTGACCCATTTATTTGAATTTTAATATCAAAATCAAACAAGTATCTCCAACAAAGTCTGTGCCTGTTATATTGTTTTGCAATGCCATCTTCAATGAATTATGTCCGTGATTCTCTAGCTGTGTTTCTACTGACACTGAGGCCTCATTCCTCTTTGGGGATGTCATCTAAGTTTACGCTTGACTTGCAATTCTCTTCTTTGACAAGCAAGTTTCACAAGGTGCCCCGATTACCCACGTTACAAGCTTTCTACTTGGGAGGACTCTCAGGATGCTTTTCTTTTCTGCAACTATTCATACATCTATGCTGTATTTCATCAATTCTATGACAAACATTCTTTCATGTTTTAACACCTCTGAAACTAGACTATGTTATATAATCAACAGCATCATAATTGTTTGGCAGCATATTCTTTTGTTGATAAACACTGGTGTGTCTGATAATCAATGGTGTCCTATGCCTGATGAAAAACCGTGTAAAAATTGCTATTTATTTCAGTCAGATTAATAAAGTGGGCAGATGAACTCAACCTATGTAAACAATGGCAAAGAAAAGAAATTCTTGAGTTAACAGAGAGTTTTCACTTTTCACTGTAGCTTAATTTTGAATTGATAGTTCACAGGCCATACCAAACTTGCTCTAAAGGTAATGAAAGCTGAAACAATGAATTCGAGCAAAGATCAATAGGCAAGTGTCCTAAAACTTTGTCCAAAGTAAGCTTCATCATTCATTAGTGCATTATTCAAAGTTTATAATTCAGTGAGCTTCATATGAAGAGAATGTGACTAGTTAATAGTTTACCTGGATGAGAAAGGAATGTATTCCCTCTTTTCACCCAATAGTCTTATTCACTAGTAAAACATTTTTTCCTGATAACTTCTTCAGAACTAACCTTAAATGCAGCTTCCAGACGATTGCAGTTAAAGAAAGCTTCACAAAGAATTGTCCCGAGTCTTCTGTCAAAATCCAAAGTTTTGGACTTAAACACAACATAATCACTTTCAAATTCCTATAAAATTCAAAATAAAATATTAGTTTACAGGAAAGAATCCAACAGTGAAAATATCAACCACAAAAGTGTGACACCTCTCTCTCTGTGAATGAATTTATTTTTCATAGCAGGATTCCAGGAAAGACAAAGAAAGAGCTGTATCTGACTAATTATTCAAGTGGCAGCCTTATAGGAGCACTGAACATTTAGCACTGTCAGCTCACATTTCCACAATCCTTTTCACTGGCTCAGACCCCAACATTAGCTCTTTGGCCTATCACTCTATCCTCCTCCATACTATTTTGATTATAAATGAAAAAGCAAAGCTTTTCAGAAAAGAAAAAGGAAAAAAAATAACCCGTCTTATTATAACTTTAGTCCATCTATAAGTTTAAACAGGAAGTTTTTAATTCTGTTTTTCATGGAGCAGAAACCCTGCCAGGAAACACTATTTCTTCAAGTGGGAACTGAAATCCACATATCTGTCTGTAAGAAAGCATCACTAGTGATACAGACAAAACATAATACTCTTCCTATTTTCCCAGTTTCTTATTAATATGCAGTTAACAACCACCAGTTTTCTCCTAACACATAAACACCCACTCCCACAACTACAAAGAATGAAACAGTGAGAGAATAACCATCATCTGCAAACTGCCCCAGGAGTGCACGCCACACACTTAACATAAAGAAGTCCTTTGTTACCACCATAAGCTAAGCCTCCTCTTATTAATAATAATAATGACAGCTAACATTTATTCAATTCTATTCTAAATGCTTTACATTATTAACTCAATTCTAACCACATGATGTAGGTAATATTTTTCCATTTTATAGGCAACAAAGTAAACTCAAAGAAGTTTAATGCCCACAATCTTACCCCTACTTAATGGCAGGGCCAGAATTTAAAGCCAGGTAACCTGGCTCCAAAGTCCACACTCCAAGCATGATTCTGGATGTCTGTATGAAGGAACGCACCTTATGCTGAACTGAACAAACACTATAAAACAGTGTAACGGCAAAGTTCTAGAGCACTATGTGTCATATACAACAATGTCATCTTTAGCATCAAGAGGAAGTCTCCACTTATGAAGTAGGGCCAAACAGTCTCTTCATTCAAGGCTCACTGACTTTTAAAAGTAAACACAAATGCCCAACAAGTTGTAAACAAGCCTAACTTGCTCTTCTTCTCAGTATGGCAACAAAGAACATACCACTTAAGATCCTCAAAGATTATTTGAACAATCAGCAAATAAGATCTCAGGGAGGAAACAAACGTTCATTTCCATAATTGATATCTCTCTTAACCTCTTTTTTGTCACTCAACCTGAATTCAGAACTGCTGATAGAACTTCTCCCCTAGGAAGTCCCACAGATAATTGAAATTTATTTTATACAAATCGGAGCTCATCATCCTCTCTATAAAGCTACTCCTTATTCTGTAAACCCTAATAGAAGCTTTGGCAATCTCTTTCACTTCTTCCTCTCTCGGTCAACTGCTGTCAATCTTTTCTCCTAACTACCTATTCTTCATTAGTCCAGGCATCACCCCCCAGATCACCATTACCATTTAGCTGGATTTCTGTTAAGCATTTTCTAACTACTCTCTTTGCCTTTAATCTCATCTTTCCCATCATTCTCCGAACTGCAATCTAAATAAAGCTTTCTAAAATGGAAATCTTATGTCACTCTCGTACTCAAAATCCACCATTATCTCAATTCAGAATCCTAATTTCTTAGGGTAAAGTCTAAAAGTCAACCTCATCTACAAGCCCTCTGTGATCTGGCCCCTACTTACTGCTCCCAACTATTCCAGTACCTCTCCCCCTTTCACACACTAGGATCTAGCCACACCTGCCTTATCATACTCATTCTCTGTGTGTAATACAATTTTCTGCTCATCACTTTCTTTTCATCTACTCCTCACTTGCTTCATTTCTATTTTTTTTTCAGTTCCATTTATCTTTCAAGTATTGTCTCAGTTTCCCTTTCACCTCCTCTGGAAAGGGGCCCTTCACAAGTGATCCCATAGTACTCTGTACTTTTCATACCCTAGCACTAAGCACACTGTATAAAGCACTAAGCACACTGTATAAGTGCCAACCTGGAGTCTCCCCCTGGATTTTAAACTATGAGTATAGTAGCCATGTTTCTTTTCACAGTGACAGTGCCAATATTTAATGAGGTTCCTAGCACAGAGCTGTTTCTCAATACTTACTGAAGAATAAACAATATGCTGGTATTACTAAAAACCATTTTTTCTATATTGTAAAAACTCCAAAATTGCCCTTATTAGTGACGTGGGAATTTTTGAAGTTTTAGCTAGAGAAATGCCATGGTCTGATTTAGGTCCTAAAAGGCAATCAAGTTGCTGTGTGAAGAACAGACCCTGATGGAGCCAAGACAGGGGCTGAAGAAGAGGTTTAGGAGCAAATGCAATAACCCGGGTCAAAGATGAGACCCGGGTATATTTTCAGGCTTTATCTGATGTTTATCATAAGAAAAGAGCAAGATCATGGATGACTCCAAGGTTCTGTACTTGGTAGTACATTATATGGACTATTTAATGAGTTGGAGAAGACAAGGAAGAATAGGTATGGGGAGAGGTAAAGCAGGGGTGCAGTTTTGCATGTTGGTGACATCTATTAAGTATCTAAGTGGAGATGTTGAGTAGGCAGCTGAATATATGCTATGTGTTTGGGATTTAGGAAGGTCCTTTCCATTATGTAAAATATCCTTTAGCCTTTTGGTAAATACTCTTTATCAATTTGAGGAAGGTCCCCTCTATTCCTAAGAGTTTTTATCATGGATGGATGTTGAATTTAGTCAAAAATTTAATGCGTCGAAGTTTTTAAACTACTAAACTATCACAAAGGAGGCAAGAATATACAATGGAGAAAAGACAGTCTCTTCAATAAGTGGTGCTAGAAAAACTGGACAGCTACACGTAAAAGAATGAAATTACAACACTCCCTAACACCATATACAAAAATAAACTCAAAATGGATTAAAGACCTAAATGTAAGGCTGGAAACGCAAAACTCTTAGAGTAAAACACAGGCAGAACACTCTGTGACATAAATCACAGCAGTATCTTTCTGGATCTACCTCCTAGAGTAATGAAAATAAAAACAAAAATAAACCAATGGGACCTAAACTTAAAAGCTTCTGCACAGCAAACGAAACCATAAACAAAACAAAAAGACAACCCACAGGAGAAAACATTTGCAAGCTACCGACAAGGAATTAATCTCCAAAATATACAAACAGCTCATACACCTCAATACCAAAAAACCCCAAACAACCCAATTAAAAAATGGGCAGAAGATCTAAACAGACATTTCTCCAAAGAAAACATGCAGATGGCCAAAAAAGCACATGAAAAGATGCTCAATGTCACTAATTATTAGAGAAATGCAAATTAAAACTGCAATGAGGTATCACCTCACACAGGTCAGAATGGCCATGATCAAAAAATCTACAAACAATAAATGCTGAATATATTCCCACTATTGGTGGGAATGTAAATTGGTACAACCATTATGGAGAACAGTAGGGAGGTTCCTTACAAAACTAAAAATTGAACTACCATATGATCCAGCAATCCCAACTCCTGGGAATATATCCAGAGAAAACGACAATTCAAATAGACACATGCACCCCAATGTTCACTGCAGCACTGTTTACAATGGTCAAGACATGGAAGCAACCTAAACGTCCATTGACAGAGGAATGGATAAAGAAGATGTGGTACATATATACAATGGGATATTACTCAGCCATAAAAAAGAATGAAATAATGCCATTTGCAGCAACATGGATGGATGTGGATATCATCACACTAAGTCACACAGAGAAAGACAAATATCATATGGTATAATTTATATAGGGAATCTAATAAAAAAAAAATGATACAGATGGGGAATTCCCTGGCAGTCCAATGGTTAGGACTCTGTGCTTCCACTGCAGGGGGCACAGGTCTGATCCCTGGTCAGGGAACTAAGATCTTGCATACTGTACAGTGTGGCCAAAAAAAAAAAAAAAAATTGAGGTGTGCCTGTAATTCTTAACTATTTGGTTAAATTCTCCTAGGAACAACCTCAGCATGAACATTTTCTTCGGGGGAGTCTTTAATCACAAATCCAATTTCTTTAATATAGTGTTATTCAAATTATCTCACCCTCACAAGAAAAAATTTATGTGTGACAACAGATGTTAAGTAAACCTACTGTGACAATCATTTCACAACATATACATGTATCATATTCTTACGTTGTACACCAGTGGCCCCCAACCTTTTTGGCACCAGGGACCAGTTTCGTGGAAGACCATCTTTCCACAGACCAGGCCGGGGTGGGGGATGGTTCAGGTGTTAATGTGAGACATGGGGAGTGGCAGACAAAGCATTGCTCACTTGTCTGACACTCACCTCCTGCTGTGCACCTCAGCTCCTAAGAAGCCGTGGACCAGGGACCTGTTGCACACTAAAACTAATACAATGTTACATGTCAATTATATCTGAATTTAAAATATTTATTTCATATTGAGTTGTGGTAGCTCTAATTTTTTTAGGAATTGGTTCATTTCATCTAAGTTATCAAACTTATGTGTGTAGATGTTATTCTTTTGTGTTTTGGTATTCCCCATTTTTTTGATATCTGTTGAGGATGTAATTGTAGCTATGTTTTACTCCTGATATTGGTAATTTGTCTTTTTGTCTTTGTAGTCTTGCTAGAGCTTTGTCTTTTCAAAGAACTAACTCTTACTTTCACTGACTTTTCTCTATTATTTCTTTTCAATTTCATTGATTTCTGCTCTTTCCTTCTGATTATTTCCTTCTTTCTGATTCTTTGTATCTATTTGCTCTTTTTTTTCTAGGTTCTTAGGGTGGAAACAGATTACTGATTTGAGATTTTCTTCTTTTTTAATGTATGCATTTAGTGCTATAAATATCCCTCAGAACTGCTTTAGCTGTTGCCACAAATTTTGATATACTGTATTTTCATTTTCATTCAGTT